GATTGGTTGCCTCCCGCACGCTGGGTAGAACCCTCGACTCTTGGTGGGCCGGCACTCTAACCACCCAGCCCCACCGGCCAGGGCATCTGGGCCTCACTCTAGCTTTTATTAGTGTGGTGTAGTCCTATTGAGTTTGTAGTTTATGATAAAACAGTTCATAAATTATATGTAATCCCCTTTCTCCAAGGAATGGCCTTCACTTGTTAAAAGACTTAGTTGATTGTTTATGTTATGTAAAAACAATTTATACCTTTTTTTTATATCTCCACTGCCATAGTTTGTAAAACCTATCTATAGGTGTAGGGCCTTCCTAAGCCAATTGTAAGATAAAATGAATTGGGAAGAGCCTTTTTCTCCTTTTCTGTATTTTCTTTGAACTGTTAGATTTTCTAGTAGTGGGTGATGGGGAGAAAGGGGCAGGGTAATGATTATCTCTTTCGCAGGCTCTCAGCTGCATTTTGTGCTCTGGGGAGAGACCCATCACTTTGACCCCTTAGGGGATGAGGAATGGGCAGAACAGATACAACTGCTAATAACTGGTGAGGTTGGATTTTTTTTGTTTAGGATCGCAGGTATGCAGACCTCACTGAAGATCAGCTACCCTCCTGTGAGAGTCTGAAGGACACTATTGCCAGAGCTCTGCCCTTTTGGAATGAAGAAATAGTGCCCCAGATTAAGGAGGGGAAACGGGTACTGATTGCAGCCCATGGCAACAGCCTTCGGGGCATTGTCAAACATCTGGAAGGTATGTACGTTTTTTCAGAGGGGCCCTCAAGGAGGGGTAAAGGAGAACTGACACTAATCGGGGATTTAGTTACTTGGTATGAAGGAAACCTGGAAAGAGCTGGACATATTGAAAGAGTCTGATTGGTTCCTGGAGGAAACAACCTATCCCCTGTTCCTCAGTACCTTCTGGAGAAGCAGAGGGGGCCGGAACCCTGGGTGCCTGTTACACATGCAAAACCTCAGGCCCCACTTCAGACCTGATTCAGAAGTGCATCTATCACCCAGGTGATTCAGATACACATTACAGTTCGAGATGCCCACTTCTGGACTAGGATTGCCAGTTGAAACTGCTGCTAAAATTTTCCTTAATCACAGCCTGGTACAGTGGACTAGGATTGCCAGTTGAAACTGCTGCTAAAATTTTCCTTAATCACAACCTGGTACAGTGGACTAGGATTGCCAGTTGAAACTGCTGCTAAAATTTTCCTTAATCACAACCTGGTACAGTTTCACACATGAATCTCAATTTGCATCTTCAGTTGTTTCACCTGAGGCCCTAGAGGCCAGATCTGCTGATTTTTTGCAGGCTGGATGGACTACATAGGACATTTGAGCTGTATTTAAGTCCCGCCCTACTGTGGGCTTCTGGACCCCACTTTGGGAAAGAGATCTGCGGTACACACCTTTCATACTTTTTCCTGCTGTTCAATGGCTCAGAAATAAATATTAGGGGTATGTGTTAGGAGATCCATCTATATGGTACAGATCATTATAGCTATTTCAAACATAAGAAAGGGCATTTTGTTTTAATTCCAACCAAAGCCTTTGTCACCTGGAGGATAAATAGTGAACCTAAGAGGTATGGTGGAGTCCTGTCTTGTGTGGCTAATCATGGTGGGTATTTTCAGGTCTTTCTGAAGAGGCTATAATGGAGCTGAACCTGCCGACTGGTATTCCCATTGTCTATGAATTAGACAAGAACTTGAAGCCCATCAAGCCCATGCAGTTCCTGGGGGATGAAGAGACCGTGCGCAAAGCCATGGAGGCTGTGGCTGCCCAGGGCAAGGCCAAGAAGTGAAGGCGAGCGGGCAGACGACTTTCCCTAGGACACCCTCCCTCCCATCCCATTCCTCTGCATCTCTCCTGTGCACATGTCACACTGACCACATCTGTAGGCATCTTAGGTTGTAGCTGCGGATGGGGACTGGTGGCTCCCAATTTTGTGTTAGCCATTTTGTCTCCTGCACCCACTCCCTTCATACAATCCAGTCAGAATGGCCCTTCGGGGGCACGGGTCCTCAGTCTAAGCCGACGGAGACTCTTGTCTAAGAGTCCAGAGGTAATAACTCTTGTTTTTTTGCTAGTGTTTTGTTTATTACTAAGGGCCTGCTTGAAAGTAGGGGGATAAGGAGGAGCCATGTTAAGGCGTGACCAATGAGAGGCAAGAGAGCCTCTGTGTTCCTGAGAGCAGTCCTGTGCTATTCTGCAGTCAGGTGAACTGACTGGGGGCTCTAGTCATTCCAGTGGAAGATGAATGCCTGGTGATTCAAACAAACATTTCCTCCTTGACCCCAGAAAAGCTGGCTCCAGAAGATCGGGATCAATCCTGAATGTTTATGTGTTGCATTTACTTTTACAAAAAAAAAAGCCTCTCTATATAAAATAATAAGAAACAAAACCCTCTGGGGTTTTCAGTGGCGGTTGAACTATTCCCACATGTGGCCATCACAAAATAAGCCATTCCTCACACCAAGGTGGGATGGGCTCCTTGACTTGTAGGAGTTATCCTGCTGTGTTTTAGAATCCCTCCCCAGCACTGGCATTATTGTCTCTTGGCAGTGAAATGTCTCTTGATCATGTCCAGGTGTGTCTTTTACTGTGTGAGTTCTGAATCATGTTCCAGTTGCTTGGCCCTGCCACGTGGGCCCATTTTGAGCATAACTACTAAGTCTTTTTCAGATCAGTATAATAAAGGAGTGATGTGCAATATTTTCTGTGTGATGTGTAATCTCTCTTGTCTGAGGAAATCAGCTTGAACATTCAACTTGAAATGTTTCATTACCCAAGTCCTTGTATGACAGATCAAGAGCTTAAGGACAACCAGTCACAACTTGACACAGCCTGGTTCAAAATTGTGTATTACTAGGTTTTCCACGTCAGGCTGGAGGGGTTGGGGGAGGTCTTGGCTGAGCTCTCCACTCCTGTTGTCTCTACAGCTCTTGCTCAGTGGTGCTGGTTACCAGATACTCCTTGACTGGAAAGTCAAATCTGGAAACTATTGTGCTCTCTAGAGTAAGGTAAAGGCTTGGCCAGATTTTTAAAAAAACAATCCTTTTCTATTAAGTAAGTTGTAGACTTGATTCACACTTTTCTTTTTGGCCTAAAGTTTTTTTTAATTCTCACCCAAGGATATTTTCAATTGATTTCTAGAGTGGGAGGGAGGAGGGGGAGAGAAACATTGGTTGTTGCCTCCCACATGCCCTCCTAGCACCCATACTCCCCAGCACCCCTCCCGGGGCTGGGAAACCTGCAACCGAGGGAAGTGCCCTTTGGTCCTCGGGCTGAGACTTAACACTGAGCCAAAATGGCCAATGTTTATTTACCAGTTTTAGAGAGGAAGGGGGAGAGAGAAACATCAACTTGCTGTTCCACCTATTTAGGCATTCATTGGTTGGTTCTTACGTGCCCAGACTAGGGATCAAACCCTCAACCTTGTAATATCGGGAAGATGCTCCAACCAACTGAGTCACTAGGCCAGAGCTGGGCCCTGAAGGTTAGCCCTGTCAGTCAGTATCCTCAAAAATTACACAAAACCTCATAAAATGACGATGCAGAAGAATAATTACATTATATACACAATTGGGAAGGGATGCTCACATTTACCTTCTCAGGCCTTTGAAAAGGTCACTGGAACATGAGAAAGCCTGTAAGACCTTTCTTGTCGACTAGGAAAAAGTGACATCTGTTGCCCTAACCAGTTTGGCTCAGTGGATAGAGCGTTGGCCTGTGGAATGAAGGGTCCCAGGTTCGATTCCAGTCAGGGGCACTTGGTTGCGGGCTCATCCCCAGTGGGGAGTGTGCAGGAGGCAGCTGATCGATGTTTCTCTCTCATCAATGTTTGTAACTCTCTATCCCTCTCTCTTCCCTCTCCCTTCTTCTCTGTAAAAAATCAATAAAATATATTAAAAAAAAAAAAGTGACATCTGTTAAGCTAGAATGAAGCTCCTCTGTGCCAGCCAATCTCTGATCCCGACAACCTCTGAAAGGTCTGGTATCCCCAGATTACAGAGAAGAAAATGGGCTGAAAGATATGTGGAAACTTGCCAGATGTGCTACTAAATACTGAAACAGGTGAAGGACGTTAGTTCAACTAAATCAAGGTTTAGTTTTTATTTGACTACATAGTAACCCTAGGCACATATCTTGGGTGCAGGCTGGATCCCTGGCCCTGGTCATGTGCATGCAGGAGGCAACCAATGGATGTGTCTCTGTCTCTCCCCCTCCCTTCCACTCTTGTCTAAAAATCATTGGAAAAATATATCCTTAGGTGAGGATTAAAAACAAAATAACAAAACCACCTAAACTGCTCAAGGCTAGAACTGGAGACTTGACTCCAAAGCTCACCCTCAATCACTCTCACTACACACAAAAGATGTGGGATCCCTGAGTTAACACCTCAAGATGAGTTAACATCTCATATAATTCACGCTCCGTCCATTCCCTGTGTAACCTCTCCATGCTTAACCTTCATGCCATTCTCATCCTCAAACGTGTTCGTTTGTTTCAGCACGTTGCTTGGGCTTCTCTCTGCCCTGAATATCCTCACTTCTACCTAAGTTCTTTAATTCCTTTACCTCCTGTCACAGATGCCTTCCTGACCTCCTCACATGATAGTGCCGCATCCCTGTTTTCAATTCAGATTTAACAAACTTTTCCTGGAGTTCTCACCTATCAGTAACACTATGATTACCACTTAACTTCACAACTACCCCATGCTACCTGAATCACCACGTGTCCTATAATAGTCAGGAAACCATATTCTCTCTAAATGAGGGAATGTATATAAAGTGCTTGACCTAGTGCCTGGCATATAGTAAGTATTCAATTAGCAAAAGTACTTAAAAGAGAACATAAAAAATAAAAAACATCTGAGATCAGGCTTTGTCCAGGGCAGGCATGCACTTGACACATGTCAGTTATTGGATGCCACCGGGCAAACCCCTGCTCCACGTCATGGCACCATTTAGATTCCTTTCCCAACTCAAGACAACAGAAACCATAAAATATTTTTAATAAAAATGTTTCGTGTCACAGCAAAATTATGTATTTATAAGACTGTCAGAAGGAATAGGCTATCTCCAACATTGTACAGTTGGCTTATGTAGACTCCAAAGGAAATATTTGTCACTGGAGAATGAAATCCACTGAAAGGTTCACAAGAAAAATATTCCACCTTCAGAGTTAGTTTCTGGCAGACACTTCTAGAGCTGGTTGTTGCCTGATCCCAGGAATGTGAATAAAACAATGGCACCTTGTTGTGACTTTCATAGCATGTACTCCTGGAAACAGCTTACCCCTCCTTGGGGTAAAATGTAGCTTCCTATGTCTGCAAGAACTCGGGCTGCACTCGGGCCACTTTCCGGAATTCTTTAGTATGGGTCTTCGGGCACTGCATCTCACACCAGCTGATGGGAACCATCTGGACACCTAAAAGGGAAAACAGCTGGGTATGAACTGAAGTGTCACTGAGGTACCTGGTGAACCTCCCCTCGTATGGAAAAAAACCTTGTTTGTTCTACTGACTTATGGAGGGATAAGCAGGAGTTATGATATTCTCTTTTTCTTAATTTATATAAGAGAATCATTCTAATCTTAGCAGCATCTACATTCACATTGCTTCCTAAATAATTATAAAATAAGACAAACAAAAGGAAACAATGGACTAATCTCAAACATAGCTTCCAGGGAAAGGTAAGCATGTGGAAGCATGGACCAACTCACCTGACTCACTGTGGGCCACCACCACTCCTAGTTCATTCTCGGCAGTGGTCAGGAGGTAGTTGGACTGTGCATCGCCTAGGGAGATCTAGTCACATAACATGGGTGAAGGAAAATGACGGCTTATAAATCTTCCCTCCCATAGCCACCTGAGTTGTATCTCTACTTCCATTTCTTCTTTTGACAAAGGCTCACAAATCTGATGGAAATAAAGGATACCACTTTGGCCAATACAATGTCACCTGGGCGAAAACTCTTATAAATTTCAACCTGTAAAGAAAGAACAGGAGTGTTACATGATAGCTCTAGATTAGGTCGACAAGAAACTATTAACCCCTCTGGGAGACTCAGTCTATTTGCTAATACCAGAGGGTAGACGTCATTATTACTCAAGACAACCAACAACTTCTATTCCTTCTACAGCATCATCATATAAATGAAAGATTTTGAATCTAATAACCCGATCAGGAATCTGACTTGGGCAATAGGTAATTGAGTAGGTCAGAGTAAGTCTGAGGAAACAGCTATGAATGAATACCTGGGTTCAAAGGCAAAAAGTAAACCAGCCCTGCTCGGGTGAACAGGATAAACAAAACTCATGGAAAGGAAACGAACAGGGAGATGAATTCTACACTTTCCAGTAGGGAACACCTTCAAATTCTTTGGACTCCACATTCCCACAGAACTTTAAAATTCGCTGGAATAATTTAAAAGGATTGAGTCCTAAAGCCAAAAAAAAATAGAACCAACCAACAACCTTGTCTTTTTCAGTAGCTCGGACATCTTCCTTGCTATAAAAAAGGAAAATTAACAGAAAGATTAATTATCTGTGAGAAAGAATTATCTTGAAGACCAGTGGTTCTCAACTTTCCTAATGCCGCGACCCTTTAATACAGTTCCTCATGTTGTGGTGACCCCCAATTTCATTGTTATAAATTGAACATAATTAAAGCATAGTGATTAATCACAAAAACAATATGTAATTATATGTGTGTTTTCCGATGGTCTTAGGTGACCCCTGTGAAAGGGTTGTTCAACCCCCAAAGGGGTCGTGACCCACAGGTTGAGAACCATTGTCCTAAAGTGTTTTCTACTTTGATCTGAATTATCCTACACTGCTAATCTCTAGCTTAACTCAGTTCTTTTTGCTTTGTTCTTAAGCCTTTTCTCATTACTTTTTCCTTTTGTGCCAACTCATATATTACAGTATTTTCTTAGGACAATACCTGAGGCAAATCAAAGTACAGAGAGGAAAGAAATAAGCAGGAGGAGGAATTGTAATTGTTCATAAAAATTCCAATCTTATTCCAGGTGCTGAGGCAAATGTGAAGACAAAAATACTTCTTACCGGATAGTTCCTCGAAAAGAGTTCTTAAGTGGTGTGGACCCCACATACAGGATGTGTACTTTGGCAAAGCGTGAATTTATGCTAGAGACCTATGGAACAGAGATAAGATCAGCATTAGAGTATTAGCAGTTGTCAGCTCAAGGAGGCAGCAATAAACTAGGAATTATCAGGATTTCAGTCTAAGCAATCTTACTAAGTATAGAATTTAAGACAAGTTAAGTCCTACTTATCCTTGCATAAAGTGGAATAAGAGCCACTCTGGCCAATGGAATTACTGTAGGAATCAAATGAAATAGCACAGTATTATTTTGAAAAACACAGATGTCTAATATAAATAGACACAGGGCATTATAGCAAATCGAGATCTTTAGCAGGTCTTACTAAGAGGCCTATAGAGTGGATAGAATTTAAGTCCACATTTCAGCTGCTGCATGATATTTGGATCACTGCCTCTCCAGTTATTTTCAGAATTACACATAGATTTTTCGGCTGAAGCAAGTTATAAAGAGAGAAACCAAGAGCTCCAAGTTAATGTAACCTGGCAGAGGGTGGGATGATGTACTAGAGTTACTGATCAGTATAGCATTAATTTGTACTTCCCGTGGAACATCCTAAAGACTTTATATTTAACAGGAATGCAACAGTATAAAGTTTTTCACTTTTCTGCAGAAAAAGGTCTCATCTCAGATATTCAAAGATACACCTTCTTATTACCTTTTGGAGCCCGTTTCCCATACAAGTAAAACTATATACTAAGGGAACCTGTTCTATGAAAGAACTATGCAAACCTGAACTTGGCTGCCTTGATCATTATCTAGAAATCTTTAGACCGGCACAGTTCAGTAAAATTTTCTGTGACAAAAATGTTTTGTGTTGACTAATATGATAACCATTAACCACACGTAGCTATTAAGAATTTGAAATTCGGGTAGTGAAGCTGATAAATTTTTTCAAAAATATATATATTTTTTATTGATTTCAGAGAGGAAGGGAGAGAGATAGAAACATCAATGATTAGAGAAAATAACCGATCAGCTGCCTCCTGCATGCCCCCTACTGGGGACTGAGCCCACAACCAGGCATGTGCCCTTGACTGGAATCAAACCCAGAACCTTTTCAGCCAGCAGGCTGACGCTCTATCTAATGAGCCAAATTTATTTATCTAGGGCGCTGATAAATAAATTTTAATTTACTTACTTTTAAAGGGCCATATGTCGCTAGTGGCTGCCATATTGAACAGTGCAGTTCTACAATGATCATGATGTCAGCACTGGATGTGGGTATCCTAAGTAGCGACGTTAGAACTAACTTACCTTACAGGTTACAATAGCTCCCACATCTGGCAGTAACTGGGACTCTGTTTCTCTCATCACAGACACAACAGGAAGCTGAAAGGAAAACAATAAAACCTGAGTATCCTGGCTAAGCCTTGGGTAGAGGTATTTGTGGCTAAGTGTAATATAGGAGTGTCTTGGTCTTTAGTTGACCCTATGAGGGCAGATGGACTACAGATTCGTTTGTAGCAAAGAGCAGAAAGCCTTAGAAATTTTAGAAAATAGGAGGGCCACAGAAAGGATGCTGTTAGAAGACATAATCTAACCATTTCAGATCAGTTCTAACAAGTTTTTGAGTGTGACTTTCTTGGAATTACTTGGTATAAAATTTCTTGCCTATAATCATGGATAATTTGACTCTTTCTTCCAAAGCTATACTGCTTATTCTTTCTATTTTTCATTATACAGGCTAGAATTTCCAAATAAATGTTATATAATAGTGGTCATACTTGTTTGCTTCTGGTTTAGGGAATACTTGTAGAGTTTTCTCTTTGAGCATGGTATTAGCTGTTGGTATATGGTAGATAGTATTTTTGAACCTCATCTGTTCTTAATTTCTCCCTTGTTCATTATGGTTCGGGTCTCCTGGCCTTCAGTTCACCAGCTCACTAAATTTCTTCCCCTCTCAGGAGCTCTGTTCAACCTGTTCTTTTTGCCAGGACTGAGCTCTTCCTATTTATCTTTTAGATTGGTTAAATGTCACTTCCGCTAACTAGGCTGGGTTTACCTATGACACGTTCTCATGGCACCCGGTAGTATTCTGTTAAAGCAGTCATCACATTTGTAACCATACGTTAATTTGAGCATTTATGTATTTACAATTTGGGTTTGTGCCCTTTGATAGCAGAGACCATGTGTATTTGGCTCATTACCATTTCCCTAGAGGTCAGCATGAGCCTGACATATGAACATGCTCAACAGATGTCCATACCTAGGAAATGAACACACTTACCAATGTTAAGGACATTCCCAAAACTGAATGAAAAGCCTCCCTTTACAGATGAGGAAGAACGTGAAGCCAGAGAGTGTGTTTCTTCGATAAAGCAGAATCAAGGTCTAGTTAGCCAGCGCCTACGTGTTTTAATCCTGAACCCTCTTTCTAGTCCCTACCTGCGCCTTCAAAGACTGCGTATCCGATCCTGAGTTAACACTGTGTTCGGCTCTGGAACTTGTGCATTCAACAAATGTTGACTGAGCATTTACCTTGTGCTGTGCCCTGAAGGTATGGTGGTGAGGCCTGCTTTCATGAATCTGAGAGTCAAGTCGGGAAAGAGTCTGGTGGGGAACATGTAACTGTTTAATTCTATGCTGAGATAAGTGCTTGGAAGGAAAGGAGTACAATTCTTTGTGTTAAACAAACAAAAGCCAAACTCCCTTCCTCAAGGAGAGGGTCCAGGAGGGCTTCCCCGAGAGAGTGAGACTTAGGCCAGCGGTTCTCAACCTGTGGGTCGCGACCCCTTCGGGGAAACACATACATCGAAAAACACATACATAATTACACATTGTTTTTGTAATTAATCACTATGCTTTAATTATGTTCAATTTATAGCAATGAAAATACATCCTGCATAGCAGATATTTACATTACGATTCATAACAGTAGCAAAATTACAGTTATGAGTAGCAACGAAAATAATTTCATGGTTGGGGGTCACCACAACATGAGGAACTGTACTAAAGGGTCGCGGCATTAGGAAGGTTGAGAACCACTGACTTAGGCGATCTGAAGGGCAGGCAGGGATTACATAGGCTATGGAGGGAAGAGCACCAGGCAGGTGGTGTGGCACCAGGGCCGGGGGCTGAGAGCTCAGGGCACTAGCGACGCTGAAGGAAGCCGGTATGACAGACTGCAGAGTGCGGTGGGGATGTGGACGAACCAGAGAAGTAGGCAACATGCGGGCAGCAGTCAGCTCACAGAGGGCTGAGCTGGCCTCTGCTCTTCCCCCAGCATCCTTCCCCGAGTGCCAGCAACACAGCCAAGGGTGCCCCAAACGATGGGCACCCTGGCGCCATCTAAGTGCCCGGCAGCAGGGACCGCAGCTGGAAGAAGCTTAAGAGACCAACTCTTCCTGGTGAGGCGCTAGAGATGCGTCCACAGTGCCCTTGCCCCAGGACCCCGAAATGAAAGGCAGCCTAAGAGAAAGGCAGAGACCGAGGAGATGGAGGGCCGCCCCCTTTACCGCGCCGTTCTCGCAGCTCTTCGTCATGCAGCCAGCAAGAGACGAAAAGATGTAGCCATGCCGGGTGTAGGTGCCGCTGCCTGGGCTGCCCTCCTCCAAGTTACACAGACGTTCGCCTGCGGGAAAAAACGCGGCATCAGCCACGGGTGCCCAGAAGCTGTGGGCCATCCGGCCTTCCTGCCTCTGTCCCTAACGCTCACTCACCCGGGATGCAGTACCTCACGGGTGGCGCCATCACAGCCACTACGCAAAGCCCGGAGGAAAACGAAAACGGACTCTCATTGGCCAAAACACGGGTGCAGTGCCTCAATAAGAAACGCGCCAATTGGTGCGTTTGTCACGTGACCCGCAGCGCCTTCCTGAAGGGGTAAACTACATGTCCCAGGTTGCCCCGGGCGAATCCCGGGGCGGAGCTCCAGAACGCCTGGACGTGCGCTTGCGCCCGTGGTTGAGCATGGGCTGGCGGCGGGTCCGGGTCTGTAGGGTGGCTCTGCAGGCAGCGGGGCATGGTTGGTTGGGTTGAGCCGCGTGGGCCTGGGGCGCGGAGCTGGAAGGGGTGGCCGTGAGCGGAGGCTGCGGGCTCCATTTGGTTGACTGGAGAGTCGGCAGGAGGCAGGTAAGTCGGCAGGCCTTTGTCCTCAGTCCTGTCCCTTTTTCTAGGGTCGGGCCCTGTCCTGGGGCCTTGTCGTGTAGCCGGCTCCCTGCTGTCTCCTAGCGGGGCCCTGTCTGTCCGCGCTCTCCTCTAGCCAGGCAGAGTGCACCTTCCGGGCAGCCGTCACCCGTGAAGCTGGAAGAAAGCCAGCTAACCCATCTCGCCCATTTCACAGATTTGCAGACTCAGATCCAGAGATAGGATATGAATTGTCCAGTGTCTCAAAGATAGTGTAAGGTAGAGCCTAAACCGGAACCCACGTTTTTTGACTCCCAGTCCCATCATACTTTGACCATGCCACCCTCACCGAGAAATAAACCTTTTCCCTGTTTTTATAGCTGCAGCTTCCGATCTCAGTGGTCCTCTCAAGAGTCCGATCCCATCCTTAACTTTTTCTCTTCCCAACATGTTAGTCCGGAAGGGAAGTCTGAACGTGAATAAAATGCTGCTGGTAGTGATGATTGACACCTGCTGCTGGAAATTGCAGACATCCTGAGAGCAACATCTTTGTCGGGATGAGGTTTACCAAGACTTTCATCACAGTTTCCTCTGCCTTCTGGCAGCTTTGAAAGCCATCTCTCCCAGTGTCCGCTCCCATCCCCAAATCCAGTTTCCCCTTGGGAAGCAGATGGTGATTTCGAGCCTTGGGAAGCGGAGAGTGCCATGGCCTGCAATCCCCTCTAATCGGGTGGCAGATGTCATTATGGTCTGCGGCTACTACTACCGTGGGCTCAGTGTTCAGGGCTTGTGCTTGGGGTGATGGTGTTGTGCTTTGCTCTGTTTCCTCCCTTGTTCACTCTGACCCCCCTCCTCAGTGCTCCTCCCCCACAATTGTTTGAGTTCTGCTTTACTTCAGTTTCCTGAGATGAATGTGTGCTCAGTTGTGGCCCCCTGGACTATATATCTCTTCCCTGGCCTCCCCATGGCCCCCAAAGCCCACTAGCTAAAGTGAGTGGAGACGCAGCTTTAGACTTTGTTCACTCTTGCTCTCCATATCTACAAGCTTTCTGTTTACATGTTTGGGTTGATTTCTGGCTGAAATTGTTTCCTAAAATGCCTTCTAGCACTTAAGGGCTATGATTCTAACAACGAGAAATGATAGCAGCGGAAAATTATTTAGTGTTGTCCATTGTTGGACAGATAGACATCTGACTAGCCTCTCCACCGCTGCATCTCAGGTCATTTATTTAACAAGTATTTATTGAGCACGTCCATGAGTCAGGTCTTGTGCTAAGAACTTTATGAACATTAGCATTTACTCATCCTTATTGCATGGGAACACAAGAAAATTGAGTTCAGGCAGGATCCAGTGATTGGCTCAAGTCACAGAACCACTCACGGGCAGAATTGAACCTTGAGTAGTCAAATTATGGGGCAGATGAAAGTTGGCAAGTCTAGTCTTTGAAGCAGGCATTTCCTGTAGAGCTCGGGAATTCTGGAGATGGTTGAGAACAATCCAAAGAGTGGAAACCTGAAAAAGGAAGTTTGTTTGTAGACAGGAGAGGTGGCATATTATCATGTTAATAAAGATGAGAAATGCAATGCATCTTAGTTGCCAGCTATTGCTATTGTATTTTAGGAAACAGGCAGTTCTCCATTAGCCATAGGAAGGGAATAAACAGTGGTATGGACATCTGAGCCACTTGCATTTGTTGTGGGGTAAAGAGTTTTGTCCCACTCTTGCATTTGATTGTGGTGCCTATCTGTGCTATTTTGAAAATTGATGCTTGAAGACAAATCATGTTTCCAAACAATGGGAGTCCAATTCAAAGGAGGTAGGAAGTTTGAGCTTTGCCTTTTTCTCTCTTCTACACTCTTAATTCTCTAGCTCGTAGGAGGTGATACGGGAATGGCCACTTTATCCTGGTGCAGAGAGTAGGCCTCTACTGAATTGTCTTTCTTCTCTTTCCCTGCTGGCATTGTCTGCTACATTTCTTTTTCCCTTAGGTCAATATAGGGTTGTGGAAGGAGGTAATTAAGAGTTTTCATTGAAAGGCTTTTTATGTTGGTGAGCCAGGATGCAAGGAGAGTACCTTGCTCTAGTTACTGAACAGAAGCCATCCCTGCAGTGGAGCAGCCTCCTCCAGTTTCTGCTGGGTCTTGAGCTGACTGTTAAATAAGTCAGTGGAGTTGCTGAGGACAAAGTAGCTCTAGGAGGAAATCAGATAATTTCTTTTCTGCAAGGGACTTTAATTTGCGGAGTTGATGAGACTATCATCGAAGGAATCTGTGTCTTCTGTTCTGGGCATTGCCTGGGCGCTGACCTTCCGTGGCTGTTGGATGAGGCAGAAACCACACAGAGGAGATGGAGGCCCTTGCACAGGAGCCATGCAAAGGGCCAAGAGCTGGGGAAGCTGGTTGGGAAGCTTGGGGCCAAGGGCAGCAGCTGCCGAGAAGGCTCAGCGGAGAGGTCAGGCCTTGTTGTCGTCCTGAGCCACCAGCATGGAGGCTCCCCTCCCACTGCCATGCCTTCCTGCCTGTGGTGGTATTCTCCTCTGAATACCCGAGGCTGTCTTGGCTGCTGTACCCTGGGGGTGGCGCTGGGACTGGAATTGAAGACAAAGCATCTTATGTCATGGAAGGGTAGCTGAGCTGTCCTGACCAGAGGCAGGGACTCTCCTGCTACCAGGTTGGCCTGTAACATCAGCCCAGAGGGAGTAGGAAGGATGAGTATCTTTTGTCAGGACTCAGCAACCAAATAGTTCTTGGGGACTGGAAACCCTGGGCAGCGGAGACTGGGTGCAGGCTCCACATGCTAGCATTGACGCCACCACTGGTTGTTCCTTGAAGGTAGGTCAATGGTCAGGGCAGACAAAGACTTGGGGAACCCTCTGCCAGTGGCCATGCTCACAGACACACAGTGGGCAGCTTTCTGCATGTTGGCTGTGCTCCGCCCAGTGACCTGTCTACAGACAATTCCAAAGACCCGGCTTTGTCTTGGAGCCGCCTATCTCCCCTTCACCCCTTTACTGTGGCCTTTTGCTCTCGGTGTGCATCATCTTGGATTTGCTGTGTAACCACATGGTGCAATGTGGTTTCTGCCGGATTAGGCCCTCCAGCCCTACCCCCTGTAGTCTGGTTGGGACATGGCACTGCACATTCCGTAGAGAAGGGAAGTGACTTTCTTACTGCCCACAGCTGGTAACTGGCCCAGCTGGGCCTCAGTCTTAGGTCTTTGCTTCTAAACTGGTGCTCAGGGCCTCCCCACTGGTGGGCTAAGGAGGGAGGCTGGTCCCTCACAATGGTGTGCTCTCCTAGGAGCCATGCAGGGCCAGCGGAGCCTGCTGCTGGGCCCTGCCCGCCTCTGTCTGCGCCTGCTTCTGCTCCTGGGCTCCAGGCGCCGCTGCCCCCCTCTGCTCCGGGGCCTGGTACAGCGCTGGCGCTATGGCAAGGTCTGCCTGCGCTCTCTGCTCTACAACTCCTTCGGGGGCAGTGACACCGCTGTCGATGCTGCCTTTGAGCCCATCTACTGGCTGGTGGACAACGTGATCCGCTGGTGTGGGGTGGTGAGTGATGCCCAGGGAGCAGGAAGAGGGATGTTTTGGGGTAGCAGAGGGACATGTGTTGGATGCACCAACGCCAGCCCCTACCCTGGGGATATTCCTGAGTTATTCTGGGTGTCGACAAGCTCTCTCACTGCATCTACCTGACCTCACTGGTGTTGGCAGGTGTTCGTGGTGCTGGTAATTGTGCTGACCAGCTCCATTGTGGCCATCGCCTACCTGTGTGTCCTACCCCTCATCCTCCGAACCTACTCAGTGCCACGACTCTGCTGGCATTTCTTCTATAGTCACTGGAATCTGATCCTCATCGTCTTCCATTACTACCAGGCCATCACCACTCCACCTGGATATCCACCCCAGGTGGGTCTCCACAGGGGGTCAGGGAGGCAGAGGGCTGCTGGCCATGGGCGCCTGTCCCAGGAGTGGGGAGAGTGCGTGCCTTGCATCTTTGCAGGTATGAAAAAGGTGCTGCCATGTTGTCATGATGCTTTTCTCTCTTCGCACAGGGCAGGAATGATATCGCAACAGTCTCCATCTGTAAGAAGTGCATCTACCCCAAGCCAGCCCGAACACACCACTGCAGCGTCTGCAATAGGTGGGTCCTGGCTTTGCTTTCTGTGAGCCCTAGCTCTGGCCCTTTGGCTGTAGCCCTAGGGAAAAACCGAGACCTGGGGTTTGAGAAGATGTTTATGAAGCACTCAGCATGTGCCAAACAATGTGCCCTCTCTGTCATGACCCCTGGCCCTCAGGATGGTCCTGTGAGTTAGGCATCATCAACTCTTGTAGAAACCGAGGTTCCGAGAGATGAGTTGCCCTGATACTCTCACGTAGAATCAGGTAGCCAGTGTAGCAGCGTTTGAAGCAAGGCCTGGCTGTCTTCAAAGTCTGTGCCCTTTCCACCTCAGCAGGATGTCGGTCCTTGTAGAAAAGGATTGGCACTGACATCTCAAGAACCTTGGCCACCGTAACAGAGCCTGTGTCCCTCCCTCACAGGTGTGTGCTGAAGATGGATCACCACTGTCGTATCCTTTTATTATCTCTTCCGCCTGAGGCCGCCTCTTTAGCTTCAGAGCACTGCACAGGGCTAAGGGCCACAGACTTGAGGCTTCTAGCATCACCCTGCGGAGAACATTGGGCTCATGAGAAGTTAGTGGAAGAGGAGTTGTGGCAGCTGACCATCTCTTGGGGGAAGCAGGAAGCTTACAGGTGCTCTGGGACAGAACTCCTTGGAGCAAGTCATCTATTCCCACAGCCCTTTCTTTTGTAGACTGTCATGCCGGCACCTATTGGATGGAAAGAGATGTTTGGGCTTCAGTCGTCGTCCACTGGGTATCCAGATAGAAGCATTGATTCCCTTCTGCTGCCCCGTACAGATGTCTGGTTAACCCCAGCTAGGTTGACATATTGGCAAATTCATTTTAGTGAATGGTTTCAATTTTCATGATTTCCTGGTGGGATTGTGAGGGCTCTGAAAAGCTTTAACACTTTCACCCCAACCTCTGGCAAGTCCCATATGTATTTTCCTGCCTTTGGAAAATAGTTCTTGGTGACTGGAAACCCTGGGCTTGGATGATGTCATCATGAAACAAGGATGAACCAGAGAGGCCTGGACACACACTGAAGTTGTTTGATCTTGTCCTTAATCTTTCACGCAACAGCCTGGCTAAACAACTGTGTGGGCCACTATAACCATCGGTACTTCTTCTCTTTCTGCTTTTTCATGACTCTGGGCTGTGTCTACTGCAGTTATGGAAGTTGGGACCTTTTCCGGGAGGCTTATGCTGCCATTGAGGTGAGCCCATAGTTAGGAGCAGGGCTGCTACGTAGCGAGCACTTTGGGGTGTGGAATCTGTCCCTTAAGGAGTGGGGCTGGTAGCACCTCCATGCTAGAGACCTGAGAGTATAACCAGCACTGTTTTCCATCCCCTTAGAAAATGAAACAGCTCGACAAGAACAAACTACAGGCGGTTGCCAACCAGGTGGGCGGTCCCCACCCCACTGCCTTTTGCTGCTCAGGCCAAGGGGCATAGAGTTGCTGAGGCAACCAGGGCCCACCTGGTGGAGCTGTAGAGACTGGTTGAGGGGCCGCTGGAGACTGGATCAGGGGTGTTCTGGGAGGCTGTCTGCCATGCAGACTAAGTGGCCTGGAAGTCCCTCGTATGTGACAGTTTTTGGCTCTCTATCCCATTATCACCTTTTTTGGGCTGAGCAAGGACTCTGCCTTGGTGATGGCCTGAGCAGCAAGGAGTCTGTGTCGGTCTGTGTACTGGGGCTCCAGGGGACAGAGATCAGGCTGGGCCAGTCTGATCATCCTTCGCTCCTGGTCTGTCTGCATCCGCATCTGGGTCGTCCCTTCTCCCAGGCTTTTTGGGACTCCTTATGCTGAGCAGATCTTGGGCTGATTGTACTTCTGCTGACCCTTCAGTCCTTAGTGTAGCTCAGTTCTCCCTGCTGCAGTCATTCCATTCTGGGTGTGGGTCTGGTCTCTTCTCTTGGCGATTGCAGCCACAGGGGAAGGAGGTCTAGCCGGGAAGTGGAGTGGCTTCCCCTGGATCCCCATTTGTGTTGTCAGATCTGAAGGCCCAGGGTCGGCTCCTTCTGTGCTTTGCCATCCTGTCCAGACCCACTTTGCCCAGTGTTTGTCCACATGATGCTGCTGGGCTTGGTCCACCCATCTGGCTGCTACCCTGACTCCTCTGTGGCTTAACCCATTATTTTTTCATCCTGGGCTTGGATCACTTCCCTGCCTGAAGGTGCGGGGGGCTCTGGTGGAGACTAGCACAGCAAATAAGCCAGACTTTGCTGTTTTCTTTTTCTAGACTTATCACCAGACCCCACCACCCACCTTCTCCTTCCGAGAAAGAATGACTCACAAGAGTCTTGTCTACCTCTGGTTCCTGTGCAGGTATCTAACTCGCTTCTTTTTGGCAGCTTAATGGAGGGGCAGCTTCAGAAAAACCTTTTTAGGTGCCCACAGGGACCCATTCCTGTGTGAACTGCTGCTCTTAGTCTAATAAAGGTTAGAAAAGTCAGCATTTAATTTTCTCTAGCATTTTGGTGCAGGGAATAAGGATACTGGCATTGAGTGTTTGTTATATGCCAAGGTAAGTTAAACGCCTACCTAATCAGTAAGTGACTACATTTTATAGATAAGGAAAACTGAAAATTAGCGGGGTGATTTGTTCCACAATACACAGCTAGGAATGAATGTAGAGCTGGAGCCTGAATTTTGTGCCATCCCATTCCAACCCCTGGTGCTTTTACTACTCTCCCCAGGCTCTCAAGCATGGCTATTTTAAGAAATACACAACATTTTTTATTAGTAATACAGACTTATTCCCCCCCCTCCTTTCCACATAATTTATTCTTTGCCCATGTTGAAGCATTTTCATTGATGCTTTTTATAGATGTAGTGAAGAAAAAGTTTATCTGGGGTGCGTAGGCTGGGAAAGAGGTCCCTATCCAATCATTATTGCTCAGCTTAATTTCAGACATAGCCGTTAACCCTCTCTAAGCTACTAACCAATCTTTGCTTCTTTTCTTAGTTCTGTGGCACTTGCCCTGGGTGCCCTAACTGTATGGCATGCTGTTCTCATCAGTCGAGGTGAGACTAGTATTGAAAGGCACATCAACAAGAAGGAGAAACGTCGGCTGCAGGCAAAGGGCAGAGTGAGTAGGGCTGAGGGCTGGGGGAGGATGCTGAACCTGCCATCCTATAAATAGGCCCTGGTTAGGGCCAACTATGGCAGGCATCCTGAAAGGCCAGAACTTGCCTAGCTGAGCTTAGGCTTGGCCAGCTTAGGGTTGAAAATTAGAAGGGGATTAAATAAAGGGGTTTGTAGAAACTTACATTTTTCTTGGTCCTAGATTTTTAGGAATCATTATAACTACGGCTGCTTGAACAACTGGAAGTTATTCCTGGGTGTGGACACAGGAAGGTAAAGTAGACCAGTGCTGTCCAATAGGAATCTGTGATGAGAAAGATGTTCTGTACCTATCAGTGATGGTGAACCTTTTGAGCTCGGCGTGTCAGCATTTTGAAAAACCCTAACTTAACTCTGGTGCCGTGTCACATATAGAAATTTTTTGATATTTGCAACCATAGTAAAACAAAGATTTATATTTTTGATATTTATTTTATATATTTAAATGCCATTTAACAAAGAAAAATCAACCAAAAAAATGAGTTCGCGTGTCACCTCTGACACGCGTGTCATAGGTTCGCCATCACTGACCTATGCTAAGACATTAGCCACATGTGGCTACTGAAATCTTGCCGGGTGGCTAATGCACCGATGAATTTTTTTATTTAAGTTTTATTTTCACTAATTTAAAAAGGCACATGTGTGCCCTGGATGGGTAGCTCAGTTGGTTAGAATGGGATCCCAATACCCCAAGGTTACAGGTTCAATCCTCAGTCAGCACATACAAGAATCAACCAATGAAGTGTAAGTAAGTAAAACAACAAACTGATACGTTCTTTTTCTCTCTCTAAAATAAAAATAAATTAGAAAACAATAACAAAACACATGTGGCTAGTGGCCACAATATTGGAAGTACGGATCTAGATTCTAGTAGAGATCATTGCTTATTTGCGCCAACAGAGTTTAAGGCCAACACTGGTTTAAGTAGCAGATGAAGCTTGCAGATTACACAGTATCCCAAGAAAGCTCTTTTCAAGAAGGGACTTCTAGGTAGGGAAGGTGGCCACCAATCACCTTTCATTTGTATGGCAGTGTCTGGAGTTCAAGCCAATACTTTCTGGAATTAAAATAATCCATTTGTGACAGAGGTTGTCCTAAGACAATAAATGAAGCTAGCTCCTTCCACCCAAGACATGGAGAATCATTTTCCAAATTGCAGCGATGAGGCAGTAATAAGGTGACCACAAGTACCTGCCTGCCCCCTTTCCCCAACCCCATTACATCCCTGGCTGTTACTGACGTTCAGCTCAAAACCTCTAAAGGCCTTCAAGGCACCAGAGGACACAGTTATTGGACAAAATTAGGGCTTTTGTTCGTGATTAAAGCCAAGGTAGCTTCAGGATACATACAAGGTAGCTTAATGTATCCTTACTGAGGAAAGAGGATCAGGAAGCCCAAAAACTCTTGGAACTCAGAGACATTCTTTTCTCTTGCAGGCACTGGCTTACTCGGGTGCTGTTACCTTCCAGTCACCTGCCCCACGGGAATGGAATAATCTGGGATCCCCCTCCTTGGGTGACTGCTCAGTCAGCCTCTGTGATGGCAGTGTGAGCTGGATTCTGTCAGCCACAATTTGAACATCACCCTGCTTCCTGCACTGTCTTGAGGGCCTCCAAGGGTAGCTTTTTGGAACTCTTGAGCAACAAGAGCCAGTGGACCTGCCTTAGGGTACCATGCACAGACAACCCAAGGACCTGACTCCTGGCCACTGCAGAAGCACGGCACGATGTGGACAAGTCCTAGGACTGATGTTCCTTTCCTCAGGCAAACAGAAGTTCCAGCTGTGGACTGGAGATTAGGCAGCTAGCAACCTTGCCGGGTGCTGACCCCAACCTCCAGGTTATAGCACTGGAGTTGGCCACCACCACTTCCACTTGCTGTCTGAGAAAATGCCTGAATGGTCATGCTGAGATCCTGGCTTCTCAACAGGGCAAAGATACCAGGCCTACTGCTGAGGTCACTGCCACTTCTCACATGCTAAAGGGAGCAAAAATAAAGGTATTTGATTTTTAAAGATCTGTAGCTTCTCACTCTTTGCTACTTTAGGGCAGGGAAGGGGGAAGTCAGGGTCAAGGCTTAGTGAGTAGTGTTCTGGTCATGCCACCTCTGCCCCATTTGGAGGCACTGGATGCCCTGAAGAATTCTTGGCTAATCTCTTTCATTACTGTTCTTTTCGCTTATACAGTGACACTGCTGATTATGTGCTACTGAGGCATAAGTGGAGGTCAGGGGGCGGGGAGAGAATATCTGACAGTCCCATTATAAAAAGAAATCTTTATTCTTCAGCACATATCCACACATGCACCATCCCTGGTCCTCAGGGCCACACTCATCTATCTGCATTCACTCCTCAGCAGCGTATCTTTTTCTGACATACAAATATGGAAGAGTCTTTAAGATCTTTCTTCAAACACAAGTAGTCGCACACTCAGTTACTCCACAATCCATTAGGAACCAGGACTGTTTCTTGTACAGCCGTGCAGCAGAGGCCCAGCATTTATGCTGTATCTGTAGGAAAGGCAATCAGAGGCCAATGGTCTCTCTGCCTTGGCAAGATGGCTCAATAGTTCGTAATTCCACGTTAGATTGTCAGAACAGTCTAGGCCAGGACTCAGGGCTCAGCTGCCAGGGCTTCCCAACAGAAACCTGTGGCAGAAAGAATGTTGGCAGCATTCGTGGTGAGGCTCATTTCAATCCCATCTCTCCCCACGACCTAGGAACTCACCATTCTCCCCTGGCTGACACTGCTTCCTTGCGCACCAGTCTCTTCTTGTCATCCAGAGGTTTGGCTAAGGCCCGGATCACCTGTGGTTTGTATGGCAGCAGCTGCGGAATAAGAGTTAATCTCAGCCTGTTTAGCCAAGGCAACCGAAAGAGCTGCTTCTCTGACCCTACAACTACTCTTGAGTCTTATTCTTTTTTTTTCTTTAGAACTATGTTGTTTATTAATAGTCACTACGTAAAAGCATAAAAGCATCATCAGAATATCATGGGAATTTAATGCTGGTTAATTTCTTCTTTTTTTAAAAAATTGTTTAAAGTATTATATATGTGTCCATTTTCCCCAATTGACCCCCTGCCCCCCACCCTGCCATTCCTGTCCCCCAGGACAAGCCCCTACCACCCCAGTGTCCGTGTCCATTGGTTATGCTCATATGCATGCATACAAGTCCTTTGGTTGATCTCTTACCACTCCCCCCCCCCCCCCCCGCCTTCTCTCTGAGATTGGACAGTCTGTTCAGTGTTTTCTTTGTCTCTGGATCTGTTTTTGTTCATCAGTTTATGTTGTTCATTATATCCCACATATGAGTGAGATCATGTGATATTTATGTTCCTCTGACTGGCTTATTTCGCTTAGCATAATGCTCTACAGGTCCATCCATGCTGTTACAAATGGTAAAAGTTCCTTCTTTTTTATAGCAGCGCAGTATTCCATTGTCTAGATGTACCACTGTTTTTTAATCTACTCATCTGCTGATGGGCATGTAGGCTGTTTCCAAATCTTAGCTATGGTGAATTGTGCTGCTATGAACATAGGGGTGCATTATGTCCTTTCTGATTGGTGTTTCTGGTTTCTTGGGATATATTCCCAGAAGTGGGATCACTGGGTCGAATGGGAGTTCCATTTTTAAATTGAGTCCTATTCTTTAGTGATTCCAGAGGATGCTAGGTGACAGGATGACCATTCTGTGGTATGGTATTCAGACAAATCCTTGCCTATCTGTACCCTGCAGTTCATCACATAGCAGGGTGGCCAGTCATGCTTGACTAAGGCAAAAAGGTACTTCTCTGGCTCTTAGAATTTTCCAGGCCAGAGAGGGACACCTGAGGTACTCACCACAGGGGTGGGCAGGCGAGTGAGTGCGTGCATACACTGCAGTGCAGCAATCCGGACAGCCTGGAACACAACCATAGGGAGGTGAGAGGAGACCCAAGAAGGACAGCTGCAGATGCCAGAGGTGCTGGGGCTCAACGTACCATGGAAGGGCTGGAGCTGAGGTTCAGGAACTTGGTAACGAGGGTGTCAACATGAAGACTCATGACTTGGGGTGCTTCTAGTAGAAGAGGCTGAAGGCAGCTGAGGGTGGAGAGCTGTACCACACAGTCGGGGCAGGACAGGGCCTCCAGCAGCAAGGAAAGCAGCTAAGAGGCCACAGGAAAGGTGGGGATGACCACAGACGTGGGGATGAGCCTGCTTCTCCTCCCCTCCCTTCTCTAGCTCAGCTGGGGGACAATGGCTTGGTCCCTTGCTTAGAGGCTCTGGACTGCATGGCTTACCGTGGGCAGCTCTGGCAAGAGCACAGGCTTAGGCAGCCGGTTAAGTACATGAGACAGACCTTTCAGGTAATTTGGCTTCACATCTGTAAAAAAAAGAGAAGCTTAGGGGAGAAACTGGGCTCAGACATACAGCTTGAGAATTCAACTCCAATCTGATGAAGCTATGTATTAGCCTACATAGATGCTTAAAAAAAAAAAAAAAAAAAGCCCCGCAAGCTCAGAATAAGCAAGATCTATCCACCAATGGAAAAGAATGGGGTAAGAATCTGGAAGGTTAGCCCTTTAAGTACAGACCACACTGAAGAAGCACTGAGGTCCTAAATTATCTTACAGAATGCGGCCTGAGCCAAGGAGAGGCTTATACATTTTGGGCCTTCCTTTTAGACTCTCCTTACCTTGGGGAGCAGCATGGAAGCCCTGGACCAAAGCAGGCACATTATCTGTGAAGAAGCGCTGGCGGAACATGATCCGCACATCAGCATGGCCAGCACGAGTCAGTACATCAGTGCAGTCAGACATGAGCAGAGAGAAGCCATCAGCTGCTTTTGGGCCTAGTTCTGCATCACTCAGGAGGCCCATGAGCTGGAAGAAAAGAGAGCCTTTGAGGTACATTGGGAGAAGACTCCTAAATACCCAGGAGGAGGATGACAGTCATTTCTGGGAGGAACAGGATCAACAGAAGTTCTGTTTAGGTCCTACATTCCCTTGTCTCCAGACTGGACTTACCCGATCAGTAAGGCAGGAACCGAGAGGATGATATCTGAGCACTAGGGCCTTTGTGACCTGTAATCAGAGAAAAGAATGGTCAGGGCATGACATAAGCACTAGAACCCTGAGAAGCATGCTATGCTTCCAGGTCAAATGGAGAAATTTTTTTAACCAGACATCATAATTGTGTGTTTAATGAGAATCCATTCCGACTCCTTACCCAAAGAAGCAGTGTGAAGGCCTGACTGCGATGGGCCCCAGAACCCAGCCCAGCCTCCACTTTGTCCACAGCCAGCTGTAGGAATTCATCCAGCTGTTGCCCTAAAAAGGAGAGAGGAAATGATGCAAAGGCTACATATTTTTCCTTTAACAATGAAGGATGTAAATCATTTCAGTGCAGAGCTCCCTGAGAAGCCACGAGAAGAGAACACTATCACTCAGCTCTGGAACCAGCACGAGAGCCTGCTATCCCTAAAGCGCAGGGCTGCTGGTACTGGAAAAGAGTTGTCTGCTTCCAATAAAGAAGGATCCCTGACAGCTCCCTGTAGGGAGCAGGATGACAGATTAGACACAGCACTCTGCTTGTACCCCCTCATCTCTGTCCTGTAATGCTTTGTCCAAATGCTCTCAACGTGTCCCAAGGACTGTCCCCTGGGAACCCCTATTATATGTACTATTAGCAGGCTCCTTTTTAAAGAAGAATGAGGACTGAACTTCAAGATCCCATCAGGATGGCTTCCGTACCTGCAGGGTGCTTGTTGAGGAGTCCTGCAAAGCACTTGGCAGCGGCAGTGGAGGAGAAGGGGCAACCCTGGCAGCAGCTCAGCTCTAAAAGCTCCCGCATGAGTTGGTTTAGCTGAGGGATTTCCACCTGCAGAAAACCTGGTCATGTAATGGACCCAGAGAACACTTTGAACTCACAGAGATAACCAGTGAAAGTGGCAGCAGGGCCAGGATGGACAACAACTGCATTTCTCAGTGGGGAAGTAGACCAGCTTAGTCTGCGACGAAGTTCAGCCCAGCAGTCACTTGGGATCCACCTCTCCTGTCAGGGTTAAACTAGGGTAACTCCCCAAATGTGTTTACTTACATTTCGAGGCAGGGAGCAGACAAAGGCCATAAGCAGTGCAACCAGCCTCCTCTGTCCCGAGGAGCCATCCTATAAAGGAAGAAGAGCGTTATCAAGCCTGTCATACCAGCCATAGGCTTATCTGTTCCAACAGCCATCCCAGATTAGCCCTAGAAATTTCAAGGACAGAAATCTCAGGATTCTACCCCATCTGATCCACCAGACCCTCACCTGGAATGGCTGGAATCTGCAAGGGAAGCTGTTTTCAGGCAGAAAGGAGATGTTGCCATCCAAGAAGAGGGGCACAATGCAGGCGACACTCTGGGCAGCTAAGCTAGGGGTAGAGCACTAGGTATCACCAAGGAGCTAGGGTTGTATAGTAGCCCTGGGGTTCCCATTAGAGTCACCGAGTCAATGGGTCTGAGCATGATCATTCACATATTCAACAATTATTAATTCAGCACATATATGCCAGGAACCGTTCCCATTCTAGGCCCTGGTGATAGAGCAGCAAGCCAGACAGATCTAATCCATGTTCTGAACCTCACAATCTAGTGAGAGAACGCAACGTATATTTTAAAAATGCTCCACAGGATTCTTATGCACATCTGCAGCTAAGAACCATCAGTCCGTGGTTCACCTGCTCCCATGGTCCATGGTGCTAAAAGCCCCTTCCTTACTTTGCCAGCAAAACTTACAAGACAAACGGCTGCCTCCACATTTGATACTGGGTAAAAGGACAGCTCAGAAGGCAGCTACCTGCTGCTGCTCCCCAAGATTGCTATCCTTTTCCCGGGGATCAAGCCACATCCATGATTATACTCACTCAGGGCTTAAGTGGGTGGTGGCAGTGCCAATGACAGACACCATGGCGGCCAACACTTCATCCTCCAACAGCACTTTTCTCATAATTGAGTGCTCCTTCTCTGTAAAATCAAAACAACAACACATACGCAAAACAACGCACACACAAACACAGGGCCATGACTATGGTTTATTTCATTTTATTTGTTAAAATATATTTTTATTGATTTCAGAGAGAGAGGGAGCGGGAGAGAGAAACAGAACCATCAATGATGAGAGAGTCATTGAGCAGCTGCCTCCTGCATGCCCTACACTGGGGATCAAGCCCACAACCTGGCGTGTGCCCTGACAGGGAATCAAATAGTGACCTCCTGGTTCATAGGTCCAAGCTCAACCACTGAGCCACGCCGGCCGGGTGCCATGACTGTGGTTTAGATAATTAGGTCCCGTCATGATGACAGGCTGGACTCCAGTCACAGCAGCAGTGGTTTCTAACCGGCTCTGTCGTAGTGCTGTAGACCAGAGAGCCAGCAAGCACCAGAGCAGGAGTAGTCTAATGTGGGTACAGAAGCTCTTGAGAACTTTGTACACAGTCCTTAGACTGGGCAACAATGGAACATAAGGCCTGCTAATATGAACATTCTTAATATCAGAAATAGTTATGTTAACCTTTTCAATAACTTAAAAGATAACATGGGTTTATCTTTATGGGTTTTCATTGTCATAGCAGCAACCATATATCAGAGCCCTTGACTGGAATCAAACCCGGGAATGTTTGGTCTGCAGGCCAAGGCTCTATCGACTAAGCTAAAAAAGCTAGGGCTAGATATTTCTCTTTATCTCCCCCTAATAAGTGAGGAAACAGAGGCTTAGGAAGGCTAAATATCTTCACCTAAGTTAGTGGTAGAGTTGAAGCTGAAACCCAACCAGGTTTACGTAACTCCAGAGCGGAATTCTAACTAAACTAATTACATAGCAATTAAACAGGTGAAAGGTGTGCATCCTTTTTTTTTTTTTTTTAAAATATATTTTATTGATTTTTTACAGAGTGGAAGGGAGAGGGATAGAGAGTTGGAAACATCGATGAGAGAGAAACACCGATCAGCTGCCTCCTGCACACTCCCCACTGGGGATGTGCCCGCAACCAAGGTACATGCCCTTGACCATAATCGAACCTAGGACCCTTGAGTCCGCAGGCTGATGCTCTATCCGCTGAGCCAAACCGGTTAGGGCGGGTGTGCATCCTTTTGAGCCTTGCCAACATGAATGGATTTTAGTTCTTGCCATTGGCTAGGTTAGCACCCTTTGCTTGAAGCTAAATTGTAAAATGAGCCTCTGCTGGTATAAAATGCAGTACCAGCAAAAACCCGAGGGTGGCAGTGCTGTTCACTAGTGGAAGGCGGAGGTCTAGAGGAGAGGTAGGAGGTGAGGTGGAGAAAGTTACCTGGCATGGAAGCCTGCACAGCCAAGGCAAGCAGGCAAGGTATAGCTGTCTGATGGAAATACCAGCAGCTTTCGGGGTCCAGCTGGCATTTTTCTGCCACCCGCTGGAGGCTCTGACAGACAGCAATCACTTCACTCGGTTCTGCAGCCAAATTCCCTGTGTGGGGAGAAAGGATTCTCTGTAAGGTTTCCCTAAAAGCACTTCTAGGTATTTCAGATAGAGCAGATGGAAAGAACAACCGAAGGTGAGTGACCAAGAGTGTCTTATTAAAGAGCCGAGTCATTTTATTCTTTTGGATGTTCTTTTTCCTCTATTCAGATTTCAGAGCTGAGACCTGCCAGGCTCTGCAGCAAAAGCATTCACACACTTTTTCTCAAAAAAAAAAAAAAATACATATTTTTTTAATCATCCTAGAACAGCCGTGGGCAAACTACGGCCCACGGGCCGGCCCGTTTGAAATGAATAAAACTAAAAAAAAAAAAAGACCGTACCCTTTTATGTAATGATGTTTACTTTGAATTTATATTAGTTCACACAAACACTCCATCCATGCTTTTGTTCCGGCCCTCCGGTCCAGTTTAAGAACCCATTGTGGCCCTCGAGTCAAAAAGTTTGCCCACCCCTGTAGAAGGATCATTTCCCCCATTTTATAGAGAAGGATGTGGCAGCTCAATGAAACTCCCAGTGGTTTTTCCAGGGTCATAGTAAGTGCAAAGTCAGGAATCTAACCCAGGCCACACTCTGAGTCATGTTTTTTCTACTGTGTAGCGGATCATCCACTGTTGACTGGATCTACCACAAGGGCTGGGCAGTGCAAAGTAGGGAGCTTAGGAATTAGTGAGGACCCATGGTGATCATGTATAGGTTTGTAGTACCAATTGCCACTGTTATTAGTGCCTAGAGTACTCTCAAACTAAAGAGTGTGTACTAATCACCCAGAGATCCTGTTAAAATGCAGATATTGGTCCTGGCCAGTGTGGCTCAGTTAGTTGGAGGGTCATCCCATGCACTGAAGGGTCATGGGTTCGATTACTGGTCATGTCGTATACCTGGGTTGCAGGTTTGATCCCTGGTCAGGACGTGTGCAGGCAGTAACCAATTGATGTTTCCCTCTCTCTAAAAAAATCAGTAAGATATATCCTTGGATGAGGATTAAAAAAAAACAAAAACATTCAGATCAGTGGGGCCTGAGATTCTGCACATCTAACAAGCTCCCAGGTGATGGCCATGCTGCTGTAGCATGGCCTTAGAGTGGTACTTTTCATTACTGGCTCCAAATTAAAATCACTTGGGCACTCCTTTGTTGTTAATCCTCACCCAAGCATATTTTCCCATTGATTTTTAGAGAGAGTGGACGAGAGGGGGGAAAGACAGAGAGAGAGGAAAATTGATATGAGACACATCAATTGGCTGCCTCCCGCACGTGCCCTGACCAGGGCCAGAGATGGAGCCTGCAACTGAGGAACGTGCCCTTGGCCAGGATCAAACCCGCGACCCTTTGGTCCAAGGGCTGAAGCTCTATCCACTGAGCATCTTAATAATTACTGGTGCCCAAGTCCCATCCTTCCTCAGATTGGTTTAGTTGGATTGAATGAGGCCTAGGCATCAACATTTTATTTTAAAAGTTCCCATCCACTGCCTTGGAGGCATCAACTTCAAACCCGACTATAGCTCCCCATTCAACCCGGCTCCTTAAAGGTCATTCCTGGTACTTACCTTTGTTCATCTGGCAGAGATGCTGCAGCAGCAGAGGCAGGGTCTCCTTGACAATGCTGGGATGTGTTGATACAGCTGACAAGGCTTGCAGACAGCGCAGATGCCGGGAGCGTTTGGTGGACCCATCCTCTCTAGCCAAATCCGACTCCCCTGAAAGCAACCCAGGAGACAAGGTTTCCCTGTGTGATGGCAAGCATGAAGGCCCTCAAGCCTCCCTGGGAAGGGGTGGGCCACGGACGCTCAGGGACACATACCCATGCACAGCTCCTCAGCAAGCTTGGGCACTAGGTGGCTGCTGAAGGCCACAGGGTAAAGAGTGGCCAGGGCGCCTGATGCTTCCAGTGCTGCCATCCTGCTGGGGACACGGGGCAGATGTGCATTAGTTGAGACTTGGTCCACCATTCTCTTGCCTAGACATGCCATTAGGCAGATTCAGGAGTATAGTCTCCCTAAGGCCACCTTACTGAAGAGCAAGACTCAAGTACCTAGCTGAACAGGGCTTTTTTTTTGTTAATCCTCATTTTATATATTTTCCATTGATTTTTTTTTTTTTTTTTTTAAGAGAGAGTGGAAGAGAGGTGGGCAGGGGGTGGAGGGGTGGGGGGGAGAAACATCAATGTGAGAGAGACACATTGACTGGTTGCCTCCTGAAGGCACCCCGACTAGGCTGGGGATTGAACCTGCAAACCAGGTACGTGCCCTTGACTAGGAATCAAACCCATGACCCTTCAGTGTGCAGGCTGATGTTCCAACCACTGAGCAACACTGGCCAGGGCTGGATAGGGTTTCTTAATGCCCAAGAAAAGAGAACAGTTTCATATTTCCAACCACTAGGAAGCCAGAGCTACGCACAAGGCCCACCTCCCCTAGGCAGGAAGCAGAGCCCTGGAACAGCTTGCTCTATCTTGTTCTTTAGATTCTCACCAACTCTGGGCATCCTCTTCCAGGAAGCTCAGTCTATACAGGTGGCCCACGGCCAGCTCCAAGTCCCCAGGAGACAGGAGATCTGTTAGAAGGGAACAGGAACTGCATCCTTCTTCCCCTGCAGCCACCACAGCCCTTCCGAAGTCCCATTAGAAATCTCAAGTCAACCAGGGCTGCAGTGAGAACTCGGGAATTAAGACTTCTTTTCACTCAAGACAGAAAATCCCAAGAAAGGGACCAATACCCCATCTTTTCTTTCTCTTAAGTGTACCTGGCTGGGCACCCAAGACAGTGAGAGTACGGATGCCAACAAGCTGAAGTTGGGTGTTGGGGTCAGTCAGGGCTGTGAATACCAGTGAGCATAGCTGGTCCTTGAAGACACTCAGAGGCCTTTCACCTAGGGAGAGATAGTCCAGGTTAGAGGGAAGCCCTGACTCAGCAGTGACACAAAGACTATTGGGGGCAGATTTAAAGCGCTTAATCCACTGAGTGTCCAGGAAGTACACTGGGGAAAAATAAACAGGTCCCACCCATTCAGTGGTTTGTTTTTATGCTACAATCTCAGAATGACAGGACCACTGTTCTAGACTCCTTATCCATGGCACTCTGCCTACTCTGGACGGTGATCTCACCCTTGTCTTCAGAGCTCCATTTCTGTTGCAGCTTCAAGAAACCCAGGATCATTTCAAGGATTGTCCGCCGTTGGTTGCTCTGTAATGTTTTAAGGGATATTAGAGCCAAAGAACATAGGGTGGGGCAAAAGTTTACAGTTATATTTGGAACAGTTTATTCTTATATTCTTATTTATTATTGTATCACTTTCCATAGGAATAACTGTAAAAGATTTCAGTCCTACTACTTTGGAAGTGGGGTGAGTTATTCTTTTATGTAAGTGTAAGGAAAAGAGTAAACAAGGGAACCAGCAGTAGCTAATCAAAGCAAAACCCCAAATCTGCTATCTGGGCCTAAGTTCAATGCTGAGCTCTCTGTGAGAAAAGGCTCCTAGCAAGGGGTCCCATCATTTCCTGAAAAGACAGCGCTCCCTTACCTGACTGTGCTTGTGGAATTGTTCCAGCAGCAAAGGCAGTACATTACTGGTGATGTGGTGACAGGCCCGGGCAGATGCACCTGCAGCCGCCTGCAACAGCTTGGCACTAGGCCACACCAGTTTCATGTCGGGTTCACACAGATGGTGCCTGCAGTCTGGAGAGGCAGCGCATCACATACCCGGGAGTAGGCTGAACGTGGCCTGCTTGCCCCGCAGTACATCCAAGTTGGAGACTGAGGCAAGGGACAGTTTGCTAGCAGTTACCATTGAAGTTAAAAATAAATTCAAAGTAGGGTCCAGCCACCCCCGCCCCCAATCACTGAACATGGTGGGCTACGTATGAAAGGTCATTGGCCCTTAAGGAATTGCTCTCTGTTGCGCTCACTCCCCTTTCTGGCTTCCATGGCTCTGTTACCCTGTAGAATGTTGCTAAGGAAGAAGTCAAGGAGGTCCTCAGCATCAGCCCTTAGCACAGAGCGAGACAAACACGCAGTCAGGGAGTGGAGGGCTGCTAGGCCCTCGGCCTCCACCCGCTCACTTGCCGTCTGGAACACCTGTCAGGGAGGGATCCCATGGCTACTGAGGTGAGCCTGCACCAAGTGCGACCCCCACCCACCTTCTGCCTATTTCCTTGGGGGTTGGGGTTAAGAACCTTTAGGGCATAGCAATGGAAATTATTCCCTTAAATGAGTTTCTTCTTAACTGGTGTATTCTCACCAAGTCCTTAGCACCACAGGGATTCACACACATACATTTTGAGAGAGAGAATGTCAACTGTGAGCCACCACTGGGATGCCTTATCTTAGGTCTCTCCCTTTCTCCCTCTATTCTGCATGGTGACACAGGCACATGACTATGCCCCATTGCTTGCTTGTTGAATAACCAGGCACAGCAACAGATGGAAAAACACAGGGTGAATTATTTCCTCTGATGCTTGACAACTGGGAGTTAACAGTAGTGAGTTTATCTAAGTAACACTCACCTCTCTGCGGATAGAAGCCCAAAGGCTGGGGAGGAAGTCCTTCAGTTCTTTCTGTCCGTACACAGCACAGCAAGCATTCTGCCAAGAAAGTGCAGGTATTGGCTAACCAACACTACCTATCTCAGACTTCCTAAGATAGGCAGATACCTCAGCACAATGGCATCTGAAGGAGCCTGGCTCTCAGAGGATTTTATTATTATTATTATTATTTTTAAAATATATTTTTATTGATTTTAGAGAGGACAGGAGAGGGAAGGAGAGATAGAAATATCAATAATGATAGCGAATCATTGATCCGCTCCCTCCTGCACACCCCCTACTGGGGATTGAGCCTGCAACACAGGCATGTGCCCTTGATTAGAATCGAACCCGGGACCCTTCAGTCTGTGGGCTGACGCTCTATCCACTAAGCAAAACCAGCTAGGGTTCAGCTGGATTTTATAATACTAATACCCAGAGCAAGAAAAATAGGTGCTCACCCTCACTGATGAAAAATGAGCATCAAGAGGGAGCCCTGTTCAGCCTTTCCTTGGTGGCCACTCAGTTACTACAGGACAAGACAATACACAGCTGGGGCCTTCAGGTCAACATGTAGGCCCAGATCCTGGTAATCCCTCTTTTGAGGCCCACTGAACTATTCCCTGGCTCTCCAATAATCTATGATCCGTTAGCACCTCTAATTTGTCTAAAGCAGTGGTTCTCAACCTTCCTAATGCCGCGACCCTTTAATACAGTTCCTCATGTTGTGGTGACCCCCAACCATAAAATTATTTTCGTTGCTACTTCATAACTGTAATGTTGCTACTGTTATGAATCGTAATGTAAATATCTGATATGCAGGATGTATTTAGGCAACCCCTGTGAAAGGGTCGTTCAACCCCCAAAGGAGTTGCAACCCACAGGTTGAGAACCGCTGGTCTAAAGGCAGCTGGACCCTAGAAGAAAAATCACTCACCAGAGTCTGCAGAGAATCCAGCTTGGCACTCAGAATCTCAGAATCCACCTTTTCAATCAGCAGAGGGAGCAGGAACTGTGGGAGAGACACAGGAAGAACTGAAGTCTGAGATAGGTAGTATTGCAGCCTCACCAAAGCCAACCATGTCCCCAGGGCAAGTGCTACACCCAAGAGCTCTTCTTATGACTTTAAGCTAACCTTCCTGCCAAGATGAGGCCAGACCCCCAGTTGCCTGAAAAATGGTTGACAAATCTGTAGGACCTTAAAAGATAGCACTAGATAGGGATTGGATTACTATTTTAAAGAAGAGATGGTAAAGTTTTCAACACTGAAGGTCTGAAACACTTCCCACACAAGACTGAGGACACTTGCAGGATGTCATACCTTAGAATGTATACTGGATCCTCCTTTTCCCCCATGCTTTTACAGTTCTTTCCTCAGAGCCTTCTGTGGGCTGAGGCTACATACCCTACTGTGGGCAGACCTACCTCAGCGAATCGTGGTGTGGAAGCCAGCACAGCTCGGAGACTCAGGATGAGATCGTCTCTCTGGATACCATGAGGATCGTTAGGTGGCTGGAAAAGGGAGAACGGCCATGTGTTTGTATAACTCTTTGAACACAGGCTTGAAACTGACAACCCAAAGAACGGAGTGGGATATTTACAGCCAATCTATATGATACAAGGCTCCAGCAGGAAGACATGCTCACTCTTCTTTTTTTTTTTTTAAATATATTTTATTGATTTTTTACAGAGAGGAAGGGAGAGGGATAGAGAGTCAGAAACGTCGATGAGAAAGAAACATTGATCAGCTGCCTCCTGCACACCTCCTACAGGGGATGTGCCTGCAACCAAGGTACATGCCCTTGACCGGAATCGAACCTGGGACCCTTGAGTCTGCAGGCCGACGCTCTATCCACTGAGCCAAACCGGTTAGGGCAAGACATGCTCACTCTTACCTGTTCCTTGGGAATTTTCGTCTTTAGGGAATTTATTTCCTATCTGAACACATGGTTTCTATCTGATCTGTCATCTCATCATTCAAAGATAAGCATCATTAACTCTCCGGTGCATTTCTTTCTTCTCTCTCTATATATTATGACTGTGTTAGTAGACACTCTTTCCCTTTAAAATATGTACTTTTAAATCCCCCTTTGATGGATGTTTCTTTCCTTTATTTTTTTACCCTTTTCAAAAAGGTGTAATTCTGGCAATACAAAAATCACTGATGTTTTCTGCATCAAGACAACAGACTAAAAACATACACCAGCTCTAGCCAGTTTGGCTCAGTGTCGGCCTGCAGACTGAAGGGTCCCAGGTTCGATTCTGGTCAAGGGCACGTACCTCAGTTGCAGGCTCCTCCCCAGCCAGGGCCCTGGTCAGGGCTTGTGCAAGAGGCAACAAATTGATGTGTATCTCTCACATCGATATTTCTGTCTTCCACTCTCTCTAAAAATCAATGGAAAAATATCCTCGGATGAGGATTAAAGAAAGAAAAGAAAACTTGCACCAGATTTTCTTTTCTCTCTTTAGAAACCCCATGAAAAATACAGTTAAAAGGATTTTCTTTTGTTTTTAAAGATATCAAGTTAAAGGTTGAAGAGAACAGGATAAGAGATATTAGCAACAAAGTTGTAGAAGCTGAAAAGCAGATGGGTAAGAAGAAAATGACTCAGTAGAGCCCCCAAAAACCAGAATCCTCAGTAGGTTTGGGGAAAGCTGAATAACTACCCATATACAGTCCTTGGAAAGCTTAGAAACTGGCAGTAACAAGTACCTCTGGAATTTCAGAATTCTCTCATAAAATAACAAAACAACAAAAAAGAAAATATGAAAGAAAAGGTAAGAGATTCAATAGTCTCACAAAAGATTAATAGGAATTCCAAAAAGAAGAAATAGAGAAAGCAGACAGGAAGAAATGCAAGAAAATTTACTAGGACTAAAGTACACGAATTTCTAGACTGACAAGACCTACCAAGTACCCAATACAGTACATGAAAACAGACCCATAGGAAGGTACATCATTGTGAAATTTCAATATTTAGGGGGCAAAATCAAACTTAAAATTAGGGAGAGAAGTAATTATAAAGGTTTATGAATCAGAAGGAACTTAGACTTCTCCAAGGAACTGAATACTATAGGTAAATGCAGAAATGCCTTCAAAATCTTGGGGGAAAAGAATTTCCATTCTTGAATTTTATATCCATACTATCAACAAGTGGGAGGAAAGTATGAAGACATTTTAGATTTACAAAATCTAAAAAAATCTCACTTTTGTATATCCTCTCTCAAGAAGCTAACAAAGGTTGCACACCACCACGACGAGGGAGTAAACCATAAAATGAGGCATACATGCACACAGGAAATAGGAAATCTGATCCAGGAGAAAGGATAAAGGAATCCCTAGGATGATGGTGAAGGAAGATTCATTATCTACTCTGCATTAGGAGTAGAAAGCAACCAGTTGAGACTGTATGGCCAAGTTAAGAATAGTTTTACATTTTTAAATGGTTGAAAAAAAATCGAAAGAATAATATTTGTGACGTGAAATTATATGAAATTTATATTCTTACATCCATAAATTAAGTTAAAAAAATTCTTATTTTTCAATTACAGTTTACTTCCAATATTATTTTGTATTGGTTTTAGGTGTACAGCATAAGTGGTTAGACAATCATATACTTTACCAAGTGTTCCCCCAATATTTCTAGTACCCACTTGGTACCACACATAGTTATCGCAACATTGACGCCATAAATTAAGTTTTATGGCAATACAGCCACTGTACCATATTCCAATGTCTATGGCTGTTTCTGTGCTAGAACAGCAGAGCTGAGCTACAAGAAACCAGATGGCCTGCAAAGCCTAAAATAGACATTATCTGGCCCTTTAGAGAAAAAGTTTGGTAACCCCTGCTCTACAGTGAGCATACAGATATAGTGAAAGTCAAAGGATCATTTATACTGATGTGATCCACTATGATGATGGCATATGGCCAAAATGCATTGATAAGACCATAAAGAATATTTCTAACACAGTGATACTAAAAGCCAGGTGTCTCTACTGACAAGAACTTTCTGCTTCCCATAGGATGCAATGCAGAACACACAAAAGTCTTCTCGAAGAAGAGAAATTCTCCTGTCATTATCTATATAACCTTGTTTTGCCTAGAATATCTCTGAGAAAATATATAAGCTATTGGGAACAGTGATTATCTCTAATGGGAAAATGTGTGGTGGCTATAAAGGGGTACAAAGCATAATTCTCTATACTTTAAATGTTGAATCATGATCACTTATGTTAACTTAAAAAAAAAAAAAGAATGACATATTCTTCTCTACCCCCAAATTATAAATGCATATATTCCAACAATTCCACTTTTACGAATTTATCCTACTGTTATACCCATATATATGTGAAATGATACATGTACAGGGTATGTAAATTGTAGCATTGCTTGTAACAGCAAAAGATTAGCAACCAACCTTAATTCCATAAAGGACTAGTGAAATTAATTGGGTGTTTCCATGCAAAGGAATGTTACACAGCCATAAAGAATAAAACGAGCTAATATATAATACTGATATAGAACAGTTCCAACATGTACTGTTAAGTGAAAAAGGAAAAATGTAGAAAAAGTGTACATATATGTGCTACCACTTTGGGGGGGTATAAAACGTTTGCTTATATATGGATGAACAAGCTCTGTATAGACATAATTGATAAAAGTGGTTGACAGTGGAGAAGAAACTTGAGAGGTAGGTATTTTTCTTCACCTTTTGGATTTTGAATCATGTGAATGTGTTATCTTCTCAAAACAAATACAAAATAAAACAAAGCAAAACCAAGGTAGCCTAACCAAGAGCTTTCAAAATTTTAAAAGATACACATTCTGAGTTAGAAGTAGTGATATTTATTACAAAAGAGATGGAAGGAATTTCAGGAGAGAGGTGGCCACAAGCAACATCATTTCAACTGGAATAAGCTGGTAAGAAATTCCCTATGGCAAAGATGACTGTGTAACTTTAAAGGCAACGAGATTCAATATTCTGATGATGTTTGTGATGTAACTCCTTTCATTTCTTCCAAACCACTAATGCTTGCAGTGATGAGACCATGAGTATCTGGAAATAGAAGGGAAATGAAGATACAGAAAGGGAGGAAGGTCCAAGAGGGTCAGAGCAAACACTTCCTGTACATACTGTGCTCAAATGTTTCTTCTTTGATTGTCAATTTGTTTCTACTGCCTGAGATGCCCCAGTAGACTCCAGATCATACCCTAGACATCCCTCAGAAATCAACTGAAATCCTAACTATCTTATCTGTGAAGTCAGTTCCTGCCCACTGTAGCTCACACTGAACTGTCTTCTCTGAAAAACTGTAACACCACTCATTTCAGTCTATAATCTCATATTGTTACTTAAATGTTTCAACATTCAAGGGCTGGAACCATGTTTTACAATCCTGTAGCCCTCAGCATTAAGTACACTGGTAAAGAAATTAAGAATCCCCCTACATGCCTGCTGAATTGAATTCTTCCTTTGATGGCAAATGTTTCTCCATTTCCCAGTTTACTAAAATTACGTTCCTAAATACTGGGACTGTTTCTTTCCCTCAATGCCTAGAACTGGAACTGGCAGATAGCAGGCACTCAACGAATACTTAAAAAATATATATATTTTAAAGTTGATTGCAGAGAGGAAGGGAGAAGGAGAGATAGAAACATCAATGATGAGAGAGAATCATTGCTTGGCTGCCTCCTGCACGCCCCTACTGGGATCGAGCCCACAACAGGGCATGTGCCCTGTCTGGGAATCGAACCATGACCTCCTGGTTCATAGGATGATGCTCAACCACTGAACCACACCTGCCAAGCAACGAATATTTAAATGAATGAGAACAAACCAATGAATGAATGAAAGTTACTACTTACAGGGGTAAAATCAATAGGGAAATAACAGGATGTCACTTCAAACAACTCTTCCACAAAGGGTCCTAAAGCAACGGAGAAAGAATGAAGTTGACTTACAAGCTTCCCTCATCTCAACAAACCTCCACCAGCTAATTCAAGGCTACAAAGATGTACCGAGGCTATAGTCCCTGGAGATGAGGTCATGGACAATGCGGAAGGCCACCAGAAGGTTACGGGGATCCTTTTCTCCATCCATCACCTGGATGAAGCCAAAGGTGAAGTCAGCTCCAAGGCCCTTCAGCTCTGGGGAGGAGAGAACAAGGTCACTACTGTCCCAGGGATAGAAAGTTGGGCTTTCTTTTGGTTTGTGTTCTCCCTCTACTACCACTGCCTCCCCTTTCCTGCCTCCCAGAGAGAGGACCCTTTTTGTTTCCCTATTACTCAGTGAAGAAGAGATGTGCAACAATATATAACTGTTATGGAGGTAAGAATTTAAAACAGCCCAATTCTACCCTTCTTTTACTTTACTGGGGAGTGCGTAGACCCCCAGTTTCCCTTTATCATTCTCTCTCAGAGTACTGGCTCTTCTATATAACGCCCAGGCTAAAATGAGTCCTGGTATTAGGGGGGTGGAGGACAGGATGTGGTCACTTTTCAGATTTCCTAGAGAGCCTTGCCTCTTACCTTCTTCCCGGGTTCGCATAAAGTTGGTGATAATACTGTAGACTGTGTGCCGGTCCACCTGTGGCAAGGACTTGGGGTGGGAGAGACAAGAAATAAATTAAGAAAGTGCTCAAAGAATAACTCAGCTGACACAACTACTTCCTGCTTTACAATCTCTTAAGTGGACAGTGCTCTTTATACCAGTGTAAGATGAACCGAAGAGGAAATGCAGAGAAAGGACAAGGCTGTTAGCCCAGCACTACAGCAGGGGGCCAATAACCACACACTGTCTGCGGTGTGCCTTACTTTTTTTAGATGTAAGAGGACACAGGCCAGACACAATGGCATGCCTCCCTCTTCTTATACAGTAGCAAGGAACAGCATGTTAACATGGTCAAAGACCTGAAAGAGTTGAGAACTTCAAAGGCAATTATTTTTTTGCCATCTAATTCTAGTTATGTGAAGGGCTGGCAGACAGAGAATACCAAGGTGACTGTTATCACTCACCTGTACATGGACCTCCTGGAAGATGGCTTTAAGCACAGAGACAGCCAGCCCCGGGGGCAGGGTCACACACAGGCTCTGGGGGAAAAGAGGAGGTATGTGAGCACTGAGGGAGTTCTAGCACAGCCTTCAAGACACAACCCTAAAACAGGCCTACTTAGCTATAGTGGGAATCACAGCATTCAGATTCAGCAAGAGTGAGAAACATGGTCCCTTTTCTCAGGTTGATTAGTTCTTTGCAGTACCTTCCAAGTTGGATCTGAATTTCAGTCCCCCAAGGATACTTTTACTTTCTAAAGTAAAACAGACTAAGAACTGAAGTGAAGCTGGCTGACACCAGCTCAGTCCCACATTTGGGCATCTGTTCCTCAGCACTCAGAGTCTCACCCCCAAAGGGCAAAGAGAATTCACTGGAAAAGGGCGTCTGCAAACATGATGTGTAATGGGAAAAAAGGAGAACTCACAAGTGCCCTCAACCCCCGGAGGACAGATGGGATCACAAGATGATGGTCCTTCAGCCGGTTCTCATAGAACAGGATGAGGTGTACCACTGCACAAACCAGAAATTCAGCCATTAGTCCACATAGGCTGGAGGAGGGAACATCAGGGCTCCTCCCCAGAGTTTCTGAGGGCTATTACTGCTTGGGCTTCACTACAAATTTCCTCCTTCACCAAGAGGTATGTCTCATGCCCTCCCATTGAGGGTACCTTGATTAGTCAGGAAAATAGGCGAACATCTTTTATTATCCATTCATACATAGGCCTACCATCAAACCCATGCTCAACCCCAGAACTACCTTTCCATAGAACTGGGGCTGCCAACTTTCTCAAAGGGCCAAGATTGTAAATATTTTAAGCTTGCAGGACATAGTATCTGTCACAATTACTCAACTTTGCTCAATTTGGCCGCTGGAACATAAATGCAGCATAAACACCAGGTAAATAAATGGGTATGGCTACATGCTAATAAAACTTTATTTATAAAAACAGGCTGCCGTTTGCCTATAGAAGATAAATAATTTGTTGGCTTTTTTCCTTAGGACTTCAAAGCACTTTGATATTTTACTACTTTTCCACTCCATCTATGAGACACTACTTTGTCCACTTTACAGAGGGGAGGATGCACTGAAAAATACTGTCTAAAATCAAGACTGTCTTGTCTTCTGTCTTAATCCTTATCATTTCTGTGACATATACCAGTGAGGAATGAAGACCTTGAATTAGTAGTTCACAAATGCCTCTTACCCTCCTACCCCTCCCTCCCTGTAATGGTTTGAATAGACAAGGAAGGCCTTGCTTGGCTCATCAATCCAGGGAGATTCTCCTACTAGTGATGCCAGTACCTTCCTTCTCCAGGAGCAAGGAGTGACACTGGAGTAGCACCTGTGACAAAAGCTGGATTCCTCGTTCCCGAGTTCGGGGTTCTGGATTCTCTAGAGAAGACCTGGGGAGAAGTAGGATAGAAAGCTTGACATTACCTAGTTCAAAATTTTAAAGAAGTAAATATTTTGTAATTAGTTACACTTACCCTCTGGGCATGGGAGCCAGCAAGGAAGGTATTCTGGAGGTGCTTAGGATTACAAATAACAGTAAGACCAGAGCCTAAAGAGCCAGTTCCCAGATTGATCTGGCATCATTAGAGGATCATGTTACACCACAGCCACCAGAAGTGCCCATCTCCAGGCACTGACTGGGTATTGGGCTTTCTCTTTCTCCCCTGAATTGTGACATTCCTCTGAAACACAGCTTAGCAGCTACACGTAGGGCTCAAGAGATGGCTGGCAGCTGCAGTTTCAATCAAAACAGGAGGAGAATAAATATATTATTGCTAAAGAAGAAAAGCTGAGAACATCCACCAAGGTCTTGGGGGAAGAGAGGGGACCACAACAACTTTGTAGATAGGAACTTGTAGAAAGGTCACTGCTCAGAAGCAGAAAACTGTGCATTTAAAAATAGACCAAGGCACATTTATTTTATAGCAGGATTATTCAGAATAGCCAAAATGTGGAAACAACCCAAATATTCATCAACTGATAAATGGTTAAACAAAATGTGGTATATCCATACAACACAATATTATTCAGCAGAAATAAAATACATGCTACAACAGGGATAAACTTTGAAGACACGATGCTATCTGGAAGAAACCAGACTCAAAGGCCACATATGGTATGATTCCATTTATGTGAAATGTCTGGAATAGGCAAATCCATACAGATAAAAAATAGATCTGTGGTTGCCAGGGGCTGGGAAGAGGAGGGAATGAGGAGTGACTGCTAATGGGCATGGGGTTTCTTTTTGGGTTAATGAAAATGTTCTAAAATTGACTGTGGTAAGGGTTGCACAAATCTGTAAATACACATTTTAAAATGGTGAATGTTATGATAAGTGAATTATATCTCATAACGGTGTTATTAAAAAAAAGAAAAACAAGGCCAGAATAGCCTGAGTAGAAAGGCCAAATGGTTGCTTATGTGGAAGAAATGCATAATAGTGACCTACTCCCAACATCCCCAACCCACCCACCCAATGGCCATGACTGTTAATAACCCTTGCAATTAAATGGTCTACCAAGTATGAAATATGAGGAAAGCAGGCATTAGACTACAAGCACATACTTCCTCTGATGCTTGGAATATCTGATTAGGACAATGATCTTCCACCTGTTTCCCCAAACCTTTTCCTATAGTGGATTTTGGTGCAAGGTCAGCTTCCTAGCAATGCCCAGCAGGGCCCAGGGCAGGTCTGAGTCAGATCCAGGATGACCAGAATCCCATGGGGGCAGGTGGGTCTTAAGAGGCATAGGAGGAACCCCAGCTCTAATTAAATAATAGTTGATGGTCTTCAACCAACCACCTCACCCCAAACCTGTGGGCTGATCCAGGAGCTGGTGTGGCCCATAGGCTATGTGCTCCCAAAACTTCCTTAGGAGCCTTAGGTGGCATGACATTTTTTTAAGGAGAAACAGGGGTTTAGCCTGAGGTACTGATAAGACGGTGAGTGGGTGGGTTGGGCTACAATAGGAAAAAGTCAGGACCAATTAGTTCCAGGAAAGCAGCATTGCACAAAACAACTTTTTGAGGCCAGGCTAGAGAAGGGCATTCTAGAGCAGATGCTTTTTCTTACCCAAGGGCTTCCACCACTTGTAACACTGTGTAGCTTCCAGATTTCACATCTAGAGAAATAAAAGAAAGAAATGTGAAAAAACAAAAACCCACCCCAGGGTTCAATGGCTCATAGTGGGGCCCACTATGCTTGCCAAGAGCCCCCCTATATAAGAATCATTACTCTTAACATTCGAATATGCAGCTTCAAGTATAAAAATAGAAAAGTAATGCACATACAGGTTATTCATTACAGAATTATTTATAATAGCAAATGACTGCAAACAACAATGGCCATCAATAAGAAACCAGTTCAATAAATTTTAGTACATCCATACAATGGAATTCTCTGTAGCAACTCAGAAAAAAGTGAAGACTGAAGAAATCACACACACACACACACACACACACACACTCGCTAATAATGGGACAAGAGCTAAAAGCAGAACAGTGCACAAAAGTAGTATATGTTTTTGCACTAATGCCATATTTCTCTTCCAGGACCTAATTAAGACTACCACACTGCAATTAGCCATCATGAATCCTTAAGTCTCCTCTGGTCTGTGAAAGATTCTCAGTCTTCCTTGATCTTGACATTTTATAGAAGTATTTCATAGAAGGTCCCTCAATTTGAATTTGTTTGTGTTTGTTTTCATTTATTCATAAAACTTATTGTAAGTCAGGTACTGTGTTAGGGGCTGGAGACAGAAATAAAAACAGGGAGCTTTTAATAAAGAGCCCACCATATGTTGGGGCAGAAAGACATAAAAACAAATCACAGTATAACAAGTTTATTACCATCCTATATAATAAAAGCCAAATATGCAAATTGACCAAATGGCAGAACAACCGTCGCTGTGACACACACTGACCATCAGGGGGCAGAAGCTCAATGCAGGAGCTGCCCCCTGGTGGTCAGTGCGCTCAGCCAGAAGCCGGGCTCATGGCTGGCGAGCGCAGCTGCCACAGCAGGAGTCTTTCCTGACTCTGCAACAGCACTACCAAGTGGCAGCAGCAGGCACAGTGGGCCGGGATGAGTATGAGCAGCGCAGCACCTGGCCCTGATTCGGGCTCCTCCCTGGCCTCCTGCCACTTGGCACACTGCCACATCCCCCAAGGGCTCCCGGAGTGCAAGAGGGATGTCCGATAGCTGGCTTGGGCCTGATCCTGGTGCTGTTCTCTGTAGAAGGCAGTGTGTCTGAACAACTCAGTGACTCAGGGAAGCGCAGGGAACTCAGGGTAAGCCTGCCTCCGCACTTGACTCACCCACTTGACGGTGTTCACAGGACAGACCATGGTGGCCCAATCTGTGCATGTGCAGCAGCTGCTGAAGCTCAAGCAGCAGGCTGTGCAGCAACAAAAGGCCATCCAGCCACAAGCTGGCAGGTGGACATCCCCCGAGGGGTCCCAGACTGTGAGAGGGTGCAGGCCGGGCTGAGAGGACCACCCCCCCACCCCCACACTGCACAAATTTCATGCACCAGGTCTCTAGTAGTGATATAAACAGAGAATGGGTTAACACAAGAAAGGAGTAATATTCCTGGGTTTATGGGCCATTCCTCACTAACTTTAACTGAGTCATTCTCTTAACACTATAAATTCTCCCAAATAAAAAATATCTGAAAGTACTGTTAATTACATACTTGGACTCCTGGGATGAAAGAAGCTAATAAATAGTTAATTTAACTAAGGGTAGCCTCAATGGCATTAAGGAAAAATGTCAAAGTTCCTTTCCCTATATAGGTAGGCCTAAGTTTTTCCAATGTGTCCTAAGATTTGCTCTCTAAAAATGGACCTATTAGCACCTCCTAACAACCCACACTTTCCTCAGCAGGGCACCAGTTCCTGTGGGGCACTGAGTGCTGTCAAAGGAGTATTTATATGAGACTGACATAGAATGCACAATCAGGCCTCTGTCTGATGGAGTTGCAGCCTCTTGAGACTTTGGAGTAGCAGCCAGGGAGGGGGAATATGTGAAGGAGTAGGAGAAAGAAATATCCCAATCAGGATTCAGTTCTATTCAAGCTCTCCAAATGTCCTTTCTGATGAGGATGCCACACACATTTCTCAGAACTGTATTTTAGTGCTGTTTAATAGTCTAACAATCTTTTGGATTCAGGAATAGTAGTCTCCTTAGGGAATCACAAATTGTGGACAATACAATATAATAAAGACTGAAATGAAGGAAAATCCAAATAACTAAGAGGAAGAAAATTTATATCCACCACCTGTAAATTCAGCATGTCCAAAAATCACACTGTTCGAAACCCGCAGTCCCCAACTCCATTAAAAAAAAATTTTTTTTAAAAATTGATTTTAGAGAGGAAGGGTGAGGGAGAAAGAGCTAGAAACATCAATGATGAGAAAGAATCATTGACCAGCTGCCTCCTGCAAACCCTCCATTATGAATCAAGCCCGCAAGCTGGGCATGTACCCTGACTAGAAATCAAACTGTGACTTCCTGGTTCATAGGTCAATGCTCAACCACTGAGCCATGCCAGCTGGGCCCAAATCCATTTCTCTTTTGCGCATTCTCAGGCTTAAAAATTTGGGGTCATCTTAAGAGTCCTCTGTCTCCTTCAAGCCCTATAACTAGTTAGACCTCAAATTCCACAGATTCTTCCTTCTCTTATGTCCATTCACTTACGTAGTTTTTTTTTTTAATACATTTTTTTAATTGATTTTTTACAGAGAGGAAGGGAGAGGAATAGAGAGTTAGAAACATCGATGGGAGAGAAACATTGATCAGCTGCCTCCTGCACACTTCCCACTGGGGATGTGCCCGCAACCAAGGCACATGCCCTTAACCGGAATCGAACCTGGGACCTTTCAGTCCGCAGGCTGACGCTCTATCCACTGAGCCAAACTGGTTAGGGCACTTACGTAGTTTTTTACAGCACATCTATTTATTCTAGTCTCCAGGAGACTGGTGGTAGGAATAGGAGGGTAGGATGTGGAGATTGTGTACAGAAATAGCTACTAAGCAAGTCTGATAATAAGTATATGAGTGGTTGAAAAATAAGTACCGTAAAGATTATGACGTGTGAGATGATGTCTGGCTGGAGTAATCAGAAACACCTGGGGGGCAGGCAGTGAGCACTCAAATCTGGCCTTGGATCCTAAGTGATTGGATAGAGGGAACACCTCCCGGGAGGCTTGCACACCTTTGATTAGATAGAGGGAACTGGAAAGGAATGCACTCAGGGAACAGCAAATCAAGGTGGCTGTCTGGAACTAAAGGTCCAGGAAAAAAGTGGTGAGAGTAAAGGCTGGGGCCAGGCAGTGGCAGCCTTTGAATGCCTGGCTGAGAGCCTTTCACCCTTAGAATGCCAGATCATTTCTCTTCCATACTTACACCTTTACATCTGACACCTATTTTCATCAGGAACCCAGGTAAAAAACAAAGTTGGTGATTTTTGATCACAGCATGTTCCTTCTGCATTTACAACCTGTAGGAGAGGCTGCGGCTGTGAGTGGCTGAATGGATGCTGATCTCTTTAGCACTAACAAAGCTTGATTTAGGATTGAGGATTAGAAAGAACATCTGATTCTAGGGACACTTCAAAACTCTGTCAGCCTTCAACATCCCTGACTCAGGCTGTGGTCTAAGATTGAGAATATCAATTTAATCCTTCTCAAATTTGCTTTCATTATGTGACTCCCTTGCTCAAGGATCTACAATGACTGCTATTACCTCACACCCCTCTGCCTGGAATCCAAAGTTATGCATAATCCAACCCCACCAAACCTTTTAAACCTTATATTAATACCCTTTTACTTATCTGTTACTACCAACTTCCTTTCTTAGTCAGAAGGGTTAAATTACAACCGGGCTGGTGTTAGTCTTAGCTGAGCTGAGTTAAATGTAACTAGACAATAGTTTAGGCTATTTATTTCAGGCAGAAAAGTATATAAATTTTACAAAGATATTTATAAGAACTTGGCATTCCTTAATCATGTCTTCTCATGTTTTGAATTTGAAAAATTCGAAATTATTATGCTCATAACATATAAATGTGAAAGAATAGTTACAACTAACACTGATATAGCGGTGTTATCTTGGTTGGGGGTAGGTGTATGCATTTTTCAAAATCAGTAAACATACATTTAAAATTTGTATATTTCATTGAACATAAATTTTACACCAAAATAAACTGTAAACCAACTCTAGTTAATAATATGCCTATCAAAGTATTTGGGGAAAGTATACTGATATCTACAATTTGAATAGGTGGATAGGTATGTGATGCAGCAAGTTATATTAAAATGTTAATGGTAGAATCTAGATGGTGGGAATATGTTTCTTATGAAATTCTTTAGACTTTGCTGTAAGTTTGAAAATTTTCATAAAACACTGGGGAAAGTGACATTGATAATGCACTGTACTTGTTCATTGTAAGCACTAATAACACCCTGCTTCATAAAGCTGTAAGCGGTTAAACTTAGTGGAATGGCAGGATCAGGCATTTGCTCCTTGATGCTCCCATGCCACCTTGCAGACTTCTTATAGTTTTTTTCATGGTGTAGTGATCAGCACATATGTAGTCTAATTTGTATTTACATTCCTACTAGAGGCCTGGTGCACAAAATTTGTGCACTGGTGGAGGAGTTTCCCAGGTCTCTGGCAGTCCGGGAGCCCTCAGGGGATGTCCAACTGACAACTTAGGCCCGCTCCCCATCCTCAGTGCTGCTGCAGAGGCGGGAGAGGCTCCCACCACCGCCGCTGGGCTCAGCAGCCCTGAGTCCGGCTCAGGGCTTCTGGCTAAGCAATGCTCCCTCTGTGGGAGCACACTGACCACCAGGGGGCAGCTCTTGTGTTGAGCGACTGCCCCCTGGTGGTCAGTGCAAGTCATAGTGACCAGTCATTCTGCAGTTCAGTCGATTTGCATATGAGCCCTTTATTATATAGGTCCAATGCACGAAACTTGTGCATGAGTAGGCTTGCTGGCACCGGCTTCCCTCTGGCACCCAGGACCGGGCTTCCCTTGCAGCCCCAGCTTCATCTGAAAGGTAGTCAGGAAGGACGTCCGGTCTAATTAGCATATTACACTTTTATTATTATAGATTGCTTTGCACCTGTTTAGAGAATAACATGTGTTCAATGATAATGAAATGATTTAGTTAAAAGTGGAATTGCTAAGGACCAAAGTATTATACTTTCTGCAGATTCACTATATTCACTTATCACATATTCTAAAAGTTAATATGTTTGCCGAAACCGGTTTGGCTCAGTGGATAGAGCGACGGCCTGCGGACTGAAAGGTCCCAGGTTCGATTCCGGTCAAGGTAATGTACCTGGGTTGCGGGCACATCCCCAGTGGGAGATGTGCAGGAGGCAGCTGATCAATGTTTCTCTCTCATCGATGTTTCTAACTCTCTCTATCTCTCTCCCTTCCTCTCTGTAAAAAATCAATAAAATATAAAAAAATAAAAATAAAATAAAAAATAAAAAAATAAAAGTTAATATGTTCAATTTTCAAGGGATATGTCCTTAACTTCTCCCCAAGCACGAAAAATTTCCAAAAATAGGCAAAACTCCTCTGTATTTGTGAGATTATTATGTAGTCTGTTACTTAACCACGAGGTCTAAAGGCCTCCTAACATTCAATAACTTTTAAGATTTTTTTTTCTAAAAGAGTGAAGTCTCAGAATTCCAAGGAAATCTGGAATTTGTTTTATTCAAATCTTAGATAAGCTGTCAGAATTAAGCGATCCCTGAACTGGTCAAAAGCAGGAAACTGGAGATCTGGGGGAAGGATAAAAGCCACCACCACATAAAAAAGTCATGAAACAAAATTAACCAAGAACTTTACGAAGAAACAGAGGGAAAGTCTGGAGGAGGATACGCAGAACATCATAGACTTCCCCAGGCTGGCTTCCCTTCTCCCGTTACAGCCAGCCCGAGCCCCGGCCGCCGGGCCACTCCCAGCATGCCGCGCGCCTGGGACCGAAGCCGCGAATACACTTCTCACGTCAACCTCCCAGACACAACGTGCTTTCGCGGCGTGAGCACCGGATGCTACACTGGAGCCTCTGGGTCTGGGCCCCCGTGTCCCCACCTGCCTGACCTGCGAGTCTCTTGCCCTCGCTGGGCCTGTTTCCTCGTCTGACTCTCCTACGTCGGGCCGGCGCACAGGGTAACTCAACGAAGATGAGGGGCGTAAAGACGCTTTAAGGGAGGTGCAAGGGATTCAGCCTGTTATGGCTCTTGAGTCCGCGATGCTCACAACCAGTCCCAGACCGATCTCTCAAAGTCACCGCTGTCCCTCACTCCCTTCCCGCCCGGCGCCAGTGCCGCTCCCAGCGGTCGGCCCTTTGCGGAAGCCGCGAGGCGACGTCTGCCGTACCTGCAGCCACTTGGTCAGCGGGGCCCTCCTGCTGACCCATGACGAAGTCGTGCACGAGGCCCCACAGGGCACCCGTGGGCGCCACCGCCTCCAGATCGGCGGCGGCCGCCATGACGCGAACTAGAGATCGTGGGAGGGGAAGTGGGCTGTGGCGCGGGATGGGCCTCTCGGCGCACGCGCCTCCTGAGCCAATCGCCTGGCGAAGGCTGAGGGGACGGGGCGTTCCCCGGGTCACGTGCTTGCCGGTCCTGGTGAGGCAGTTCCCGGGAGGCTGGAACGGCCACTCCCCGAGGGCGGGGCTTAGGTCGGGGAGGTGGCTGCTGGGCAGGCAGCCGGAGGCCATGGAGGGCCAGTAACTTCTGGCCCGGCTACCCCGGAGACCGGCGGCGGGGCGGGTACCTGACTGGGTGGGGCCGAGGGGCGGTGCGCACCCTGGGGGAAGCCAATGAAAAAACCAGGCCCTGCACGAGGGGGCGGTGCCGTGGGTCACGTGCGCACCTGCGGCCGGCGGCCCAGCGCCCGCACCGCGAGCCCGAGGCTGGGAGCGGGCCGGGCGGGGGCGGGGTTAGGCAGGTGAGTGACAAGCTCGGGGGCCGGCCCAGCCGGGAGTCCGGAGTGAGCCGGGTGTAGCTGCGGCGGTGCCCGCCCCCTCTCCGCCCCTCCAGCGGAGCTGTTCTCCGGCCGGGCACCGTCGCTGGCCCCCCTGGCCCGGCCACCTGGGACTGTGCTGGGGAGTCGGCCACCTCCCTCTCTCCCCTCATCCGCAAAGTTTGTGGCGAAGCCGGCGCCGGGGCAGAGCGAACCCCAGGGGGGAGGTCGGGGAGCGCCCGATGACGGACGGCAGGAGCCGTTGACCCCGGGCGCCGCTGTCCGGGACTGGAGTGCGGAGCAGTTGACCAGCCCGCCGCCGCCGGTGCATGGGGCCCGGCTGAGGATCCAGCATGGGCAACTGCGTGGGGAGACAGCGCGGAGAGAGGCCGGCCGCCCCGGGACACCCCCGCAAGCGAGCAGGTAACGACGGGGAAGGGAGCAGGGCTACGGGCGCCCCTCCTGGCCTGACCTCCCGCGGCTCCTGGCGCCTGGGTTTTCCCGAAGTGAGATGTGGAGGGGGAGCTCCCCACCCCTGCTGCCGAGGGAGCCGAGTTGGGGCTACTGGGAGCGCTGACCCGGCTTCGAGCTCAACTAGCTCCAACTGGGAAGCCCGGGTGGGGGCGGGGGCGGGGGCAGGAAATGTTTCCAGACCGCAGCGGGGCCGGCGGAGGGGAGGGGGCCGGGCGGGGCGCCGCTCGCCTGGCCCCCGGACCGGGGTCGGATGCGAGGGTGGCCGGCGTCCCCAGAACTCAGCGAGCGAGGCGAGAACCGCCGCTCCTTCCAAAGGCTGTGTCATTTCATTATCCGGCTGCAGATCGTGTCTGCCGGAATCCGACTTGCAAAAGCACCGCAGAACTCTGGGAAAGAAATCTGTATTTTTCCCGCAGGGCTTTCTGGAGTCTCCGGGCCGTCTCGGAGTCTTGGAAAAGCGGGGAATCGCCCTGGGGTTTGTTGGGATCCTTCCCGGCCGTGGGAATGGGATCTGCTCCCTGGTAATCGGTGAGGGCCGGGCAGCGCCTGCTCACTTTCTTGGTGCCTTCCTGTCCTGGCGCTTCGCCTCGGGGAGAAGTCTGACGGTCGTTGCCCCAGTCTCGGCCTCGTACTGACTTCCTTCTCTGGGGGTGTTGCAAGGACCTTCTGAGAATGATAAAATCGTGGGCGTTAGAGGTGCAAGGCGCCTCCGAAACCTGTCTAGAACCCAGATAGACCCTACCTTCTCCAACCCGAGAAAGCCCAGATCCAGCGAGGTTGAGTAACTTGCCCAAACCCACACAGCTGGTTAGTAGTACAGCTGGGACTAGAACCGTCTCCTTTCCCACCCAGTTGCCACATATCCCCTGATGTAAGAGAAGCCACAGGCAGAGTAGTTAGTGAAGTGGAAACTTTAGTTGGAGTTTCCTGTCTCCTTTGATGCCGAAGGTGTGTTGAGTGGGTTTCGGAAACTGGAAAGATGGATGAGGGGGAAACATGGGGGAATCGGGAAGGATGTCTGTGTGGTGGACAGGATGACTTGTGGAAGGAGAAATGTTCTTTTATGGGGGGCGGGGGGAGTAAAATTTAACATTGAGATCCTCTTGGCAACCCGGGCCATTCTGACTGAGGAAAGTTGATTCTCAAACCCAAGTGCTCTCTTTCATTCATTCATTCAACTAACAAATGTTTATTATCTATGTGCTCAGTTCACACAATTGATTTTGTTGCATTTGAAACTCCTACTTGAAATTCTCCCCTTCCTCTTTTGGCATTATTAGACTATCTTGTTTCTGTGTGTGTATGTGTGTGTGTGTGTGTGTGTTTCTCAGATCACTGCTAGGTGTGGACACACCCATGGGTCAGTTTGACATTTCATTTTTTTCTCTCATTACTCTCCTTAGAGAAATCTTATTCAGTATCACAAACCTTTGTCCATTGGGAATACCCATATGCTGTATTTTCACTTGAACATTAGACTAATATCTCTAAATGCCCACTGGACACTCTGATGTAGTTATCCTCAGATTCCACACCTCTAAAACCAAGCTCTGCTTCTCTTCCCTCAGTCCCCTTCCCTTTGCTCTTCCATTCTTCCAGATGCCTAACTTTATTCTTTGAAAACCGCTCTCTGCTGACTTTCTCTGCTTTCTGCCCTCTTCCTTCCAGCCAGTCACTTGGACTTGCTGTTTCTTCCTTCAGCAGGTCTTACAAACCTGCCCCTCCCCACTGTACTTCACAGCCTTGTCACCTCAAATGCAACTCATCTCCCAGGCTGAAGTTAGTTCCCTACCAAAGGCAAGTTCATCTTCAGTCATTCATCCAGTGCCTGTACATGGTGGGCAACCCCCAGATGATGTTTATTAAATTAACCTGTTCCAAACCATATAGTTCTATGTTCAGAAAAAATTTTGTATCTCCCCTTGTTTACAAGAACAATCCTTCCATTTAAGGTGTGATTTCTTTCTCTTCCCTGACAGTAAGGCCACCAGTGTTTGCTCCTGCTATTCCCTACTGCTTATTAAGAGTCTTTCTTCCCTTTAAGTTCCACCTCAAACCCAATATTTTTCTAGAAGCACCTTGCCTGACAGTTTCACCCCCTCCTCAGTAGATCTGATTGCTTCTTCTGAGAACTCGTTCAGATACATCATGCCACTTACTTAACAATTGTCTACTCCATATTACTAGTCATTTCTTTGATGTTTACAGTCTTATATCAGCAACTACATTGCAAGCCTTGAAGAGTTAGGTTCAGTCTTATCCTTCTGTGTGTGTGTCTGTTTGTCTTTCTCATTCATTCATTTAACCATACACACAGGCACACATACATACTCGACACTTAGCGCAGTGACTTTACAAAGGAAGCACTCAATATTTGTTGACTTTAGAAAGCTGTCTCAACTTCATCTTACCATCTGAATTTTTCATGTAAACATTTTATTGAAGTATATTTCTACATTTTCTACCTTCTAGTGTATAATTTTTGCAATTCTGTGGGTCCTAGCTTTAAATAGCTTTATTAATATCCAAAGCCAAGGGGAACTATAACATGACAAGTTTGGTATAAGGAAAGGAATCCTTAATCTCAGTGTGCATATGGCATTCCTATAACATCTACAGCTTACCCTTTGCTAAGGACAGTTGTATGTTGTAACACTAATGCTTAAAATTCCCCTAGCTCCTACTGTAATGCTAATGCTAATGCTTACCTTTCCTTGGTCACTGATGTAATGGAAGAAAGCCTTACAGAGAGCTAGCATATGAGCTGTAGTCTTGGGCCTGTAGCTAGGTGACCCTGGGCAAGTCATCAGTCCTCTCTGGGTCACACTTTTAATATTTGAGAAAGGGAAGGGGGGTTATACTATATCATTAGAGAGCCATTGTAATCATCTTCACAAAGGGAATTATCCAACTTGAAAGTCATTGAGTTGAAATCTTATGCATTGTCCCCCTTTGGCCTTAGTTCTGTCTTCCTAGTCACTTGACAGGTGAAGCAGAGACTTGACACCCACTGGTCAGGCAGTATTGCATTAGCTGGAAGAATTAGGCGGTCCTCTCATCTCATCAAGTTTTGTGATTGTCACTTTTTAAAAACTGTTATTCAGCCCTAGCTGGTTGGGCTCAGTGGCTATACTCTAGAGCGTCGGATTGCGGACTGAAGGGTTCCAGGTTCGATTTCGGTCAAGGGCACATGCCTGAGTTGCAGGCACGATCCCCAGTTGGGGGCGTGTAGGAGGCAGCTGATCAATGATTCTTATCATTATCATTGATGTTTCTATCTCTCTCTCCCTCTCCCTTCCTCTCTGAAATCAATAAAAATGTATTTAAAAAACAAAAAACCTGTTATTCATTTTTAAAAACTGTATTATTGAGAGTATAACAGATGTCCCTCCTTTTTCCCTCTTGTCCTCCATAATCCCGTTCCCACCCTGATGCAGGCCTTCACCACCCTATTGTCTGTCTTCATGGGCAATGCATATTTGTTCTCCGGTTAATCTCTTCCTGCCCACCACTGTTAACTGTTACTCTTAATGCAAACCCAGTGGTCTATGTTCTCCCCTTCAGATCCTGGGTGGCCTTTGCATACTTCAGAGAATACTTGGGGGTTTACTCCTTTGGGGGGCTCCTGCCACCCCATACATATACGCTGGGTAGATCAATAGCTCTGCCCAAGAAGTGAGTGAGTAAGGCAGCCCTTCCCCTGGCCACCCCAGGATGAAATAGAGGTGGTAGAACAGGCCAATCTCTTGCCCAGCTCCACCCTTTGAGAATGTGGCAGGGCTGAAACCCAAATATCTGACTCTGGTGTGCCAGGCGTATCCACTTACATTCTGGAATCTCAAGCTAGGGATGGACAGACCCAGGGCCCTGTTTTGGGCTGGTTGGGCTTGGCAACGAATCAGCATCTCATTGTGTGGGCTGCTGTGGCTATTCTTGAGAGAGGAATTGGGCAACTTCTCCATTTGCTCAGTAAATATTTACTGAGTGCCAGGCACCTTACTGGCTGTGAACAGACCTGGTCCTTGGCCACATGAAACTTACAGTTTAGGGGGACAGATAATAAACATATAGTCTTACAAATTACATGTGGTCATACATGG